TTAGGTTCCAAGTTCATTCTGTTGAATTCAGGTGAGAAACTCAAGCGGCTCAGATAGTCTCATTTGCAAGAGTGACCTGTGGTGTTAGTCTGCCAGTATGTCTCGTCCCATTTTATATCGTCTTAAAGTTGCACATTGCCAGGCACAAGCGCTGTGGTGACATCACCGCCACTTAGTGGTGAATGGCGGTTGTTGTTGTTGTTACAGTCCCAACAGAGTAATGTTAAATAAAGGACAGCAAAAGTATTGTGCCTTGACAGCCGTGCATAACAGGTTGTTCTGGGCTCCGGGGTATTGTGTCGAGCACGAGGGGGCAGTGGAGATAGCTCATGGACACATTTCGAACCTCCCAGCCTCCACCAACCTGCGCTGACCAGAGCGGTGAAGTCTGATCAATTAACCCCCCCGACCCTCGTGGTGTGGAGGGAGGCCATCATCCAGCAGTGGATTGACCAAAAGGCTCAGCGTGTGCATGGATGTACAGGGAGAGTCAAAAGGGGACCCGAGTCCACTGTGGAGATTACACATTCCAATGGCGGGGACCAGTCCATCTACATTGGGCACCGGTGTCAACATGTTGGTACGTGCACACGGGGCGCGTCTACGACCAAAGTACCCGCGCAGCGTGCACGATGTCATCAGATTTCAGAAAGCTAAGCAGGAGGGAGCTTGGGCTAGCGCTTGGGATGGGTGACCGCCAGCGGCATGCTTGCCAAGGGTGTTGTGGGCGTGAGGCTGCTAACGTGGCCATGCGATGGCAGCGCTGCGAGCGTCACCCGTTACGCGTGCGAGCATTCTGTCCAACTGCTTTTCTGAACGGTCAACGACGGCCGATTTGCATTTAGATGCAGATCCACGCGCTCCTCTTTCTGTCTGCCCGGTGGAACTCCGAAGTGTGCAGCTCTCCGCGCTTCCACGCTCACTTCGTGGCTCTCGTTCCACTTCATTTCTCAGCGGCCGTTGCGTCCGGCAGCTGCCGGCATGCACTAATTAAGAACCGTTCGCCGTCCTGCACGTACAACAATACGTGCGGGCTCCAATCGTGCGCTTCCGTCAAAAGGCCGCGGGTAGCGAGACACGGGCCCGGCCACGCGAGTACGGCCGGGGCGACGGCGGCACGAACGCCACAGCGCCTCCAAAAATGCGGGTCAGAGGTGACAGCTGTCCATCAGGACTCGCAAACAAGAGAGTGGTGTTTACGGAGAGGCTGAGCCTACGCCGGCACACAAGCCCGCACACCTTCAGCGCCAGTGCGCCTCCTGGCTACCGCATCTTGTTTTGGGTTCCTCTTTGGGGGGTGCTGTGTGGGATGAAGGAGAGGGAGTGGCGAGGGAACGCGCGCGGGAATTTGTCAGTTTTTGTTCGGGCTTTTCTAAACCTCCCAGCTTCTGTCATTCAGACGAACCGCACCGCTTCTCAGTATTTCTAGATCTGAAACTTAAGCGGCCGTTTTTCAAAACCATAACCGAAGCTTCAATTAAATGAGTTTACCCGAGTCAGGGGTCCGAGTAATAAAATGATAATCAAAGGTGGCTTTTAACAAAACACACTGCAAAGGAATTATCCTTATTGTGGTTCAATCGCTGACTAGCCCTTTTCTCGTAGCCTTCAAACTTACTTTCCAATTCATTAAGATAGAAAGCAAGTCTTTCACAAAAGAGACACACTGTGACAAGCTGGGCAAGCCCGTGTGATCAGCCAGCACGTTCTCAACAAGATTATTCCATCACTTGGAATATTCGATGGGGAGAGCCAATTGCTTTTGCAAACATCAACTGCTTCATTTGGGAATTATCTGAATCATTAACGACGCAATCCCCGACACTTTAATTACCCCCCAGGGAAGCCCAGCAGGTGTTATATAAATACTCACATGTTTAGCCCAGGAGTTAATTGATTCATTAACTAATTAATGTCACCTCTGCCCCTGGCAGCCCCCCCTCGCCCCCCCACCACTTTCTCCCGACCATCACATCCCACCGCACAATTTGCGTTCGTTAAGAAAATAATCCTGTCCATCACTTCGTTAACGCTTCCCCTCGCCGCTAACGAGCAGAGCACACCGCCCCCCCTCCCCCGCACAGCGCTCGTTACCACGACTCTAATTGCCAGCCCGCGGCCTCGCGTATCGGCAGCAAGGCTCGTCCAACGCAAGGAGTCGCTCGGCGTGGGAGCGAGCGAGAGGGTGAGCAGGTGAGCGAGCGAGAGGGTGAGTAGGTGAGCGAGCGAGCACGAAACGACGCCCAACCAGAATGACGGTGCTGTGGGGAGAGTACGCGGGGGGAGGGGGGGCACGGCGGCGGCCGCCTAGGAAGGGCCCGGTTATGACCGGCGGCCGCTGCTGACACTTTCTCCCGTGGCTCCCGGCTACGCTGGGATCCCTGCGGAGAATGCTAACGGCCTCCCAGGTGCCAGAGCGACCGCTCCGCATGGGGCCCGTGGGGGGCAGTGGCTCCAGTCAGCGGGGAGGCCCAGGATGGAATTTAAGATCTCCGTAAAATAAACTAAGGTGGAGGTCGAGGGAGGGCATTGTTTTCTAAAACTGTGATGGCGCAAATTCTCTCCCGCGCGGAGCGTGCTCGCAACGGAAGTTGCAACGTGAAAAAAGACACCGTGGGCGTCGATGCCGACTTGATTACAGATTTTGCCCGTTCTGTTTTTAAGTTTAAATTGTGACTGGGTCTCCCCCACCCCCCTTGCATCTCCTCCCTCCGTGGCACAGCCACCACGTGGCCCCAAAAGCACCCTCAGCCTAGCTCACATGTTAAACAAACCCCCCCCCCCCCCCCTGCTATTAGCCGATTGGGAAGGTAATTGTAATTCAAATGTTTTAAATGTCAATTACTGGACCACGGCCTTCAATTGGCTTTTGTAGGACATTGCGATGGCTACACCCACCAGGCCATTGGGCTTCTCCATGCCCCCCTCCCTCTCTCCCTCCCCTGGGGCTCAACTCTCCCCCTCTAGCACCCCTCCCTCCCGCCGCTCTTCACGCAACTCGCATACATTTAGCCCCACGCCCGCTGAAGCTGGATCGCGTGGGCGCGAATAAGCCATCGCTAAAAATACATTATTAGCTTGCGAACTGAAAATGTACGAAACCGCACCCCTCCTCCCCGCCCCACCCCGCCCCCCCGTCTCTCTCACACAAAAACACCTTTTCACGCAAACGCCTGTCAATTTGCCCACTTGTTTTACCCACCCACCGTGGATTGCTCGCCAGGTCACACGGTGTAAATTAGCTGCACTGGAAGCAGCAGGCCCCGCACCCTCAACGGCACTCTTTACCCCCCAAAGCAAACAGGGGCGAGAGGGCCCGCAGTGAAAACAAGGACGCATCACGGCCACCCTCCAAACGCACTTCACGGCATGCAGGCAGCCCCCCTTCCCCCCCGCGGCCCATGCTGAGTGGGCGGCAACGGGAGCCCACCCAGGTGTAATGTACCTGAGGGGGGGGGGGTGCGGGGCTGACTAATGATATTTTGTACACACACACACACTGAATGCGTGTATGCGTGCGTGCGTGAGTGTCTGCCGAGTGTAAAGCACGTGGGGGTTGTGTGTGCCGGGGCAAGTGGAAGAGAGTGCCTTGTGCGTGTGCATGTTTGCACACTTGAGCGTGGGTGTGTGCATGTCCGTTTGCCTGTGCGTGCACAAAACGGTCGTGGAGTGGGTAGCGCACTACACTACGCACTCATTAAGCTCACGAGCATTAACTGGATCTGGGCCTCACCTAGGTCGACTTAGCCTTGAAGGAGTACCTGGTACTATGTTAAACATAACCACTGCGGAGACAAAGGGCACGGTGCTGGCCACCTAACCGCCCCCCCCACCCCCCCCCCCCGTGTGTGCTGGGCCTGCCCTAATCTGTGCTCGCAAACAGCACTTGCTCCAACAGCATGTTAAAGGCTATAGAGCGGATGTTTGTTGTTGTTGTGTGTGTGCATGTCTGTGTGTGTGTGTGCACGTGCTGTGCACCACAATCCCAGCGGTTTGATTCCTGTCCGAGAACACTGGACACACCACCCGTCGCTATTGGTATCGGAGCCTGGCTAGGATCAACACAAAGCCAACTCGGTACATCGAGCATGATCATCGCCGGCCGCAATGAAACAAAGGCAGTGTGACGCAAGCGGTGCCGACAACACTACCCCATCGTGCACCACGCAGGCGTTAACGGGAGCTCGCTAACAACGCCCGTCCCAACAGGCTGCATGACCTCAACGCGGAGTATCCGCGCGTGCACGCGAGTGTTTATTTATTTATTTATTCTTTATACAAAAGATCGAGTCTCTGTGGCCCCGGTGCGTTGTGCGCATGGCGGCACAGAGCGGCCGTTGGTGTAACCAACGCCCACCCACCGACCCACCCACCCCGCACACTCCGCTCTTCGCGCCCGAGTCGCCGTTCCAGGCTCGTGCCTCTCACACGACCACGCGCTCGCTGGGAGTTCTCTCTTGCCATGCGCGCGACTCTCTCTCCCGTGACGGCAACAGCAGCAAGTAAAAGGAGCGGAGTCGCTCGTCGCTACATTTGGTATTTGCACGAGCATGGGGCCCGACAGCGGCCAATGAGACTTTCGGATGTCGCGCTCCACACGTCACTGCGGTGGGATCCGCTTGGTGGAGAAAACGGCGGCTTTAAAATCTTAGCCTGATGTACATAAACCCGCACATGCCTAAAGGATCACACGCAGACACATACAAACCCAACACACGATGCCGCCACAATGCTCAGGTCTCCGTGCCTTGTGCCGAATTCTCTTCGGAATATCCTTTTGCCTTGTACCCCCTGCCACCGTGCTCTCTCCCCTATTCTGGCTTCCTGCGCACCCTGTCCACACGTTTCCCTGCGCCTCCTTTGTTCGCCGATCCCCTCTTCTCCCGAGCTGCTGTCGCACCCTCGACTTATTCACCCACACCTTGTTCACTTTGTGCTCTTGTTCACTTGTTCACTCTGTTGTCCCCCGCGTCCCTTGCACCCCCTCGTCCCCCGCGTACCGGTCTCCATGAGGAAGCGCAGGCGTTTCTCGACGCGGGCGGCGCGCGTGTCGATCTGCCTCTGCTCGCACTCCAGCGCCGACAGCTCCCCCACCACGTACTGACTCGTGTCTAGGAACTCCTGCAAGCGGGGAGCATTCCGTGTGGTGACCGTCACGTGCATGTGCGTGCGTGCAACACGATGGCGCGCATTACGTTTACACGGGCGCGTGGTCATACGAGGGGTGTCCGGGAAGAAGCCGATCACCCACGTTGGGTTTTGTTGAAAGTTGTCGGATTAATCTTCTTGGTTCTTTCGGTAAAGTCACGTAGAAGGGAAGTAATAAAATAATAAAAATAAAACATAATAAAACAATTCTCACGACGTTTCGGCCACAACGCAAGCAGCCGTCCTCAGGTGAAAACCAGGTCCGTCGAGGCGACGTGACTTTACCGAAAGAACCAAGAACCAAGAAGATTTACCAAGAAGATGAATCCCTGCAGTCACGAAAGCTTTAAATCGAAAAATTGTCGGATTAAGTGAATAAAAAAAGTCAAGTAATAAGTTAATTGTACAGAAATCTCGGTGGGAGATGATACATTAAAAACACTTTACAAACATCATACGTGCATTGTTACCAACTTCAACGTGCTATCTTGAGTTATCTTAGATAAACTATAGCAGTATGGGGGGTTATCAATTTTTTTAAAAATTCAGAACACCCCACATGTGAGAATAACTCCCAAGCCAAACTTGCGAGGTAGCCGCTGACATCTTACAACACATGACGCGAGCTGGCCAGCAAGTTCAGGGGGGACTATCACGGTGCAAGAGCACGGGGCCTGCGTGGCCGCCGAGATCCTGGGTTCGAATCCATGTCCCACCTTCCCGTGATCAACCCCGGTTCTCAAGCCCAGCAAAGCCGACGGTCTCCGCACAGAACTGCGCCAAGCAAAAATCACACGGACATTGTTTCGCATTTGCTAAATTCGGTTTTACCGACAGGCAAGGAACACTGCTTGCAGTGCATACGCAAGGTGCAGCACGTGACTGGTATTGGCAAAAAGGCAAATGACGCGACTCCCAGAAGCAGACCTGTGGACGTCATCTTCTAAAGCTGCGGGGGATTTCAAGAGAAATTCCTTCATCTCGCGGCACGTAGCCAGCGGCGCAGCTTGAATATAATTGGGAATAAAATCCAACGGTTGCTCAAACGGAAGCCGTTGACAGGAGGTACGTGAGGAGGTTTCGCGTCCTCGCAAGCAGGTGCGATACAAGCGACCACAGCAGCTGCTCTCTCTCGCAAGGGAGACGGAGCTGGATATCATCATGGCGGAGGGTACGCAAACTCACACAGGAGTCACGCTCGCAACCACGCCTGCCTGCCGTTGGGTCAGCAGCTGGAGACACACGCACGCACGCACGCACGCGGGTGGCGATGCGAGACCTCACCTCCTCCTCCGACGCCTGCCGCCCAATGGGGGCCGCTCCATCTCTGTCCCGCGACCGCTCCCTCCGCTCCTCGCTCGGCGACTTCTGTCTCCTGGGCTCTGCGGACGACGTGGTTCGCGACCCTCAGTGTTTCGTCAACACGCCAACCGCTCACCGCAGAAACATTTAATAAATTAAACCAAAGTTTCTCCACACTCAAGCTGGCGGGAAGCAGTACTCATCTTCACTGGCCGTGCTGAACCAGCAGTGTAAATTCCACATTCGTATTCTGAATGTAAAAACAAATGTGCCGCTATTATGCGTGTCCTGTACTGCTTTTCTAATCCGGGGCTCCCTTGAAAACAGACCTTTATTCTCAATGGGCTCTCACCTGACTTGACATAAAAATCCGATCGATTCATTTATAAATAATGCACCAGTCATTTCAAAGGGCATCCAGGGTTGACTTCCCACAAAATGGAACTCAATTCACCAACGCACACGCAGAATTAAGGGCCAAATTGACCTCCAAACAGTGTTTGAACCTTCCGATTGCAAATTAAATACTCTGCCAGAGCAGAGCCTCAGTCAGGCTGAAGAGTCCCGCTAAGGAAGCGTGACCTATTACTAACAAAGCACGGTGCCCGCTGTAAGCCCGCGACGTCGCTACGTGTGCGGTGAGACGGGTCCGGCACCTGGTTTCCCCTCCACCAGCTGCGTGAAGGACTGCAGCTGCGTCTTCCTGACCGTAGAGTCGCGGTTGAAGAGCGGGGCGCCCCGCAGACGACGCAGCCCCTCCGCGCCGCCCTCCTGCCGAGGCAGCAATGGTCGCGCCGTTTAAAACGACCGTCGCGCCCCGACAATGACGCAGGCTTCGTCGTCGCGTTCCGACGACGACGCCCGACATTCGTCAGCGCCGACGCCACGCGCACGCAAATGCCCACGGGTAAAGTAAAGCGAGCAGCGGAGAACCAACACGCGGACGCATTCACGGGTGTGCGCGCGCGTTCACTGCGACGTGCGTCGTCACAGCGGCTCGGGTCGTGTGTTTTGGGCCGCTGGGTCTCGTCGGCGAGATCCAGCTACCGGTGTGGTCTACTGGCCAAACGTGCGTATGGGGTTGTTCCTCCGCCGACCTGGAGCTTACCGCTACACGTACGTGCGAACGCACACGCAGACGCACGCCCCAATTGTGATTGTCTGCGCCTGTGTGCATGTTTGGAGAAGCGTGCGCGTACGCACAGCGACGCGCCCACCCACGCGCGCTCCGCCGCGTGGCGACGGCGTCATTGCCCGCACGGTGATCGCCAAGCGCCGATCCGGTTACGGAGCCGCCGTCGGGGAGGCCAAGGTCAAGAAGGAAGCGCTCGTGTTTGTACAACGCAGACGCACAGACGCGCAGACGCGCAAGCACAAATAAACACGCGCCGTCGCACAGACGCGCGCACACACAATCACCAGCTCACAGTCACACCGGAAGACTGCTTGGGCAGGTGCTGTTAGCGAGTCCCTATTGTAGCTGGTAAGGAACGTGGAGTAGTAGTGTGCTCAGCACCACCTTTGTCTATCCAGCTGTTGTTTAGGCACAGAAGACGTGTGATCATTTAACGCCCGAAGGCATCTGGGAGATGCCCAGCAAATATTTAAATGCCACATCCCACTGATATTATCCGTGGCCAGTAATCAAACCAAGTTCAGCGTGGTGAGTAGGATCAGTGTGGTGCACAAGCCACTATGCCACCACCTTACCCAGTATGCAACACACAGATCCCCCATATAGCCTTCAAACGACTCTTGGGGCAAGTGCTGTTAGCAAGCACCTATGAAAGCCGGCAAGGAACACGAATTGGTGGGTGGGCCAGCACTACGCCGGTATGCGCGCGCAGACACACACAGCCTCGCATGCACTGGATTATCCAGGCCACACGAGAAAAGAATATTCGTGTTAAATAAAACATGGGCGCATTACAGGTGCGAGTTATTCATGACCTGCAGTGTATCCCGGGCCACGATGTTTCCTGTAGCGGGATGGCGAGATATTTCCACGCAGCCCAGCGCAATATTTTCCCTCTCAAACAAGCAAATCGCATTCATCAGCCATTATCTGTCTACTGCTGGATGAAAGAAAACCCTAGCCGTCACACCATATCTCACTGTCTTGCGATAAGATATAATTTCCAAACGAGCTATGATAAAATCTGGAAAAAGACGACATCAGCAGCATAATTTAAATAATAAAGATTGACTGAAAGAATAATGTGCAAATATCGAGAAGTGTAGATTTCACTTGAATCTTAAACCTCTTACAAGCATGAATAATTGCCACGTTTAACCTTTAACAATTTATAATTAATTCATATCGTCTGACTTTGAGCCATCGTTGGCTGTGCTAATAATGACCAAACACAAAGAATTAGATAGAAACATGAATACATAAAACACACGTGTGTTTTAGCAGAGTACACGCACATTACACTCTGTATACGGCAATCGTACAGATCCCCCCTGAAGCCAAAACAGATTATTTGGGCACGTGCTGTTAGCGAGCACATGAGGGTCAACATTCTACACGGCGGGGATCTGTGACGTTGTACCATGCCCGACCGCCTTTGTCTCCCCAGTGTTACGCTAATAACTATTTTGAGGCGGAGCTGAACAAGGGGAGGCTCAGGACAGGTTCAGATATGGTTGGGGTAAGTGCTGTTCGTGAGCACATATTAAGACCTGTATGGCAGGACCTTAATAACTTGGGCCACTGGTTTGGGAGTGCTAATCACTATGCTTTCACTCCCCACCAAACACACAAAGATCCCTGTGTAGTCTGAACAGACTGTTGGAGCAAGTGCTGCTAGCGAGCACCTATGAAGGCCGACATGGCACACGAAGGGCTGGGTGGCCAGCACCATGCCCGTTCGCCTTTGTCTCCCCAGCGGCCATGTTTACACACCACACCAGGTAATCATTTGAGGCCGAGTCGACCTTAGTGAGGCCACAGAACCGGTTCAGATAATCGCCACCGATGTTGGCAGGTTCATAGCGCAGCGCGCTAACCGCTACACTACCGCTCCCCAAATAGACAGGTACGTTCACACACACAACCACACGTCAATAAAGCCCTGGGACCGGGTCCGACTCCGGTGGCGCTGGGTTAAACGCGGCGTCGCGGTGACACCGAGTCACCTCGCGGGGGAGGAGGGGCACCGCCGGGGGCCGCCAGCGGGAGAGAAACGCCGGGGCGTGACGACCGGCACAGACGTCGCACTTTATCGCGCGCCGCAGCCCCGCCAGCGTGCAGCCCGACGCCCTGGCATACGCACAATGGCCTAATGAACTTGGGAGCTGGGCTGCCGGGGACGATGACGGGCGCCGGCGGAGGGGATACAGCGAGCGAGCGAGGGGAACAGTGGGGGAGGAGCTGGGGGAGTTCTGTTGGAGGGGATGAGAGGGGAGGGAGCGGCGATGTGCGCAGAGCTTTTTGTCAAAACAAATTTTTAAAAGGAGAATTCGTTTTTTGACCCGTCAGGCACGCCCACCCACACTCCCTCTGCCCGCCGAGTTTGCGTAACGAGGTGGGATGGGCCGCGTGCGGTGGTTGCCAATGCGACACGCGCCGGCCCTGTTAACAGTGGGGCCCGCATTGCGCCGCAGACGCCGCCGCGTTTCTGCCACCGCGGCGGCTTCCCTCGTCCGCCGGCGACCGGTTTTGTTTTAATCCCAGGGCCGTTTTGTTGGAGCCAAGCAGAGGGGGAGAAGAAAAAAAAAACGAAATCCCGCGCGGCAATCTCCTCCGCCACTTTGCATCCGCCGAGCCGATTTTGGCACCATCAGTAACCGGAAATTTTAATCACAATAACGCTCTTTCATTTTGCCGGATAGCGTTTGTGAAATCAGTGGCCCCGTGCACCATTATATGGTGGCCTAATACAAAAATCACTGATATAACAAGTCTGTTTAATTAAAACACAAAATTTCATGGCGTAACAATCATTGGCTATGCACTACAGACCTCGGTGCACTAAGAAATTTCAAGATGGTCGATGACGTGTCCTCCCATGGACGATAGTTTGCATCGTTACTGCGGTTGCGCGCTGCCGCACTCGGGTGAGCCGGGCTACGATTTTTGGTTCAATTGCAAACCAATAGTCATCCAATCAGCGGAAAATTTGCACTCTTGTAAACCAGACTCATACTGGTCTCTTGTCCATCTAAGCAGCAGAAAACCCTCGGCTACACGGATCTGAACGCCATTGTGGATTCCGTGCGGTGGTGGTGGTGGTGCGTGCGGCTTGTGCCGGGCGATTTCTCACCAGGCCTTGCTCGTGGCTGCCGTTCTCCGTGCCAGGCCTCTGCTGCTGTGGCGATGTCGACACGGCCGAGGACAGAGACCCCGAGCCCCGGCTCCGTGACTCAGACGCTCGTCCGACCGCAGCCTCGCTCGTCCCTCCTGCGGTCGTCACAAGTCCAAACGAACGAAGCGTCCATCTCACGTGGTGCGACGGGGCGGGCAAGCAGAGCGAACGCGGGGAAGAAAGCGTTGCCCTGGCCGGCACCGGTTTCTAGCCCGGCAATGCCACATGGGAGGGTACGGCCTGAATCCGCGTCTGGCCTCCTGGCCTCGTGATCGACTGCACCAATGACTTGATCCAGAGTTGTGAGGGTCGCCACATATTAGAGGTGGATTTTCATAATTGTATTACATTTTTCAGGGTGTGATTATTTAAAATCGTGGGGAAATTCGGATGTGGGAATCCAACCCACGTTGGTGGGATGCGAGAGCTGAGACACAGCGGGGACTGCAGGTAAACGCTCGCTCTCTCCCTTCTGGCATGGGAAATTTAGAAATCACGTTTGAGCATTCGCCGCCCCGCAGAGCACACACAGCAAATCCATGCCTTAAAAAGCACGACACACCACTGCAGCGGCACTCTCGAAGCATCGCGATGACCGCGCCGGCGTCTTCACACGAAGTGAACGCAGACAAACGGCGGTTAGCTCTGGTCAGTATGCGCGGCGTTGCAACTGAGGCTTTAGGTTGATTGGTGGAAAGCTACGAATGATTAGCTTTTGACAATTTCATCATTGAGGAGAAAGGCCAAATGAGAGGTTAAGTGCTCAACACTGCTAATCGGTGTGTGTGTGTAGCCATCTTAAACATCTGGCTCATACCTGGCTCAATGTGAGCCTTACCTAGGTTATACAACTGCCTGCATCGAAAAAAACAAAGGATGAGAAAAAAATAATAAATCCGGATGGGATTTTTTTTGTTCGCGACTTTCTCCACAACGTGTTCCCACGGTAAAACTGGTACGAGCAAGGCTGAGGAGGCTAAGTTATTCCGCTCGTCTTTAGCTTCCAGCAGCTTTGGCAGCAGCTCAAATTGGAACTCCTGGCCGAAATATTGTCGGATGTTTTCCCGGTTTAAACCCACAAAACGTACAGTCCAAAGGGACCCCCTACCCCCGCCCCCCCCCCCCCCCCGCTCACGAACAGGCACCTCGTGTTGCAGTAACGCGTGCGTGCGTTGTGTCGTATATGCCGCAGAGTTATGCCACCATCTTCACCAGCTTTGTGCCGACCGATAGAGTCATCCTGCCCTGCCAAGGCGCCTCACTTCTGGCTGACTGAACATTAGGCATTTTACAGCGAACGCCAAGGATCCAAGGCTACCTTTCCCACTCCAACAAGCCGGGAGAAAGGTACGGTGAAAACCAAGGCAAACACCTCCGAGTGTAAACAATTTGGCACTCTACGTCCCTAAAAACTGGCGAGCCGGTGTCGTGAGTGTGCGAAACAAGGTCGCCCTCACCGCCACCTTCCCCCACGCACCGCCCCCACGCGCGGTGCTCTACGCGGCACTCACGACGGCCGAACCGGCGTCGGCACCGAATTGAAAGACGAGAACGAGCGGGAGAGAGGAAAGCGAGGGCAGAATAGTAGACACGTGACGATCACTTCGACTCGTTGCATGCGTTCCGTAGCTCCAGCGGGCGCCCTGCTGGTTGTGAACAGAGTCGCCGGGCGCCTTTCGTCCCCCCCCCCCCCCATGCCCTCACCGCTGTTGCTCCTTTTCTTCCGTTATTTCTCCTGTTTGCCCTTATTGTTTGCCCAGCTGCTTATGATGCTTTGGTGTCCCTGTAGGCAATTTTAGATCCGAGGCTATTGAGTGCTCAACAAAAGGTAAGGACTTAACAGCTGTAAAATCGATTCTTACAATCATGATACGCCCATCGAATGATGCGTGCAAAAATGTACTATTTTCATTGACAATACTAAACGTGTGATTTGCGGGGGCGTGGAACGATTGCTTCGACTCATGACACGTGCATCAAATGCCGAGATTATGCGAGTGAAAATTGATTACAATTTATGGGAAGTATTTGCGAATTATATACAATTATGTATTATTAAGCCTACCCGGGAAAGTCTCACCGAGTCTCAGGCTCTATTTCAGGAGGTTCCTGTCATTTTCTAATACTGCCTGTGGAATCGAATGTTGACCTCGAATCATGACAACCCAACGAGTCGTGGAGGGGGTAAATCGGTCGCACATCGGTGGCATGGCTATCCAGCGAGCGTGCAGGAGGTGCAGCTGTCATGGGGGAGGCTCGTGAAGGACGCTGCTACAGGTCAGTTGGAGGCAGTCGCTCGACAACAACAACAGAGGGCAGAGGAGCGATGCCCACAGAGGAGCGACACTCACAGCTGGTGCATTGGCGAGTTATCTCAGTCGGTCAACCCATGGCACCTGGGTCTGACCCGTGACCTCCTGTCAGCAAGCCTTCGACATTACACGTGGCCTCAAAGTGTACCTGGCTTGGCACAGGCGCCGTGGTGAAGTCACCGTCTCTTAGTGGCGAATGGTGGGTATTGGTATTGGCTGTCATGAGGCTCACAGGCTGGGGGGGGCGTATTTGCCAGAGTACTGGGGGGTGGGGGGGGGGCACACGCCAGGAGCCCACGCCCAAGGAAATAAGTGGCACGGCTTTTCAACGCTCGCCGGCTGATCAGAGCAATTGGAGAGCACGAACCCAAGCGGCTCGGCTCGGATGGAGCCGCCCCGGGGGTGCCGCTCATTGGTGGGAGGAGGCGGCGGTCCCGCCGCCTGCTTGCGCCCCTCCGCAGCGCGGCTGTTCAATGTCAGAGCCTCCGGGGACAGCGGCGCGGAGCTGGGGAGGATTACGGACGTTGACCTTGCGCCTTCGTTTAACCTGCCTCTTTCACTCGCACTTTTGTTTACCTGCCTTCGTTCACCTGCCTCCCTCACCCGCACACGCAGGGCCGAGTGCGAAACCGTTACCGTGCTCGTGAAAGGCACGCATTTGGGCTTGGAACTAACAAATGACAAACGAACGAATTTGAATTCGGTGCCGAGGGTCAGCCATTCACAGTAGGCAATAGGCGGAGAGAGCACGGCCAACTCTAACGAACACGGTGCAAATGTGAAAAGAAGTTTTCAACAGAGTTCACTTGAACAAATTAAGTATGAGATCTCGAGCCATCGAATGCAAGAGCTCGAAAAGCTGGGGCCTGTGTTTTGGAAATCGCCAGGGTCAGCTCCTTGCCCGACAGTGCGTGACGAGGCTCGCACCATCAGGACAGCGCCGCAACCACGCCACGCCCCGAGTGCGAGCATTGCGGCTAAAGTGTAGTTGCCACGCAACCAATGGCGCGCTGTCTTTGAACACCACTTATCCCATTTATTCATCTTCCACTGCAGCCCGTTTAGAGGACAGGCATTTATTACGAGGACATTTATTGGTCAAATCATCTGTGCTTCTTCTAGACCAGGCCACTGTCCGACAAATTGGAGTGACACACTAAATAATGCTTTGGCTGTGTTGCTGATGCCTCAAGGCATCTTTCAACTCTATCAGATAACCAGATTCGTCCAAGGTTTACAATTTAAGTACTGTTTTTGTTGCCACTGCTGAGATTCCTCGCCAGTCATCCTCCGTGCGCACGGTCAGCGAGGGCGATCAGACCCTCAAGTCATGTGACCATTCGAAACCAGGCTCTTGGGAAGGGTTGCGTCTGAGAATTCAACGTGTTAGTGACTTCAGATTGAGACGAGGCCCAGGAGAAACTGCAGAGGGCTGGGAGCGAGACCCCAAAGTACGTGCCCAGTGTAAAATAGGCCGCGAGGAAACCGACTGTGGAAATTGTTCCGATTTGTGGGGGGGCAGGGGTTGAAAGACTGAGCGCATATCCATTCATGAGTATAATTGCAGCCCGAGGATGGAGGGGAGCGCCCGACATGTCGGATCGTGCTCCGCGTCGTCGTAAATTGCACGGCCCTCACGCGGAGCACCTCGCCGGCTGCCCAGGTGCCGCCATCGCCATCACCACTACATCCCAATTGGATAAATCCCGTAATGACAGCGGGCCCAGACGACGCCGAGCTCTCGCCCTCATGCCCACCGCCTCCCCCAAAAGCTGCAATTTAACCCCCGCCCCGCGACTGCCGCTTCAGACATTTTAGCAGGGAGCTCACGCCCTTTCGATGCCCTCCGGCCGCAGCGAGCTCGCCGGCGCGTGGCGGCGACACGAGTCGTGGAGAAACAGCGCATGCCAAACGACAGCAGAGTCACACCGCGGCATGCCAGCATTCTCTTGGGTTACGCATTCGTTTGGCAGTTTTACCGGAGGCGGCAAGGGCACCGGGAGGACTAGAGAGCAGCTCCATCATATAGGCCAGCGCCCGGGCGTCATCGCCGTCCAAGTCGCCCTCCTCTGCAAGGAACAGCACCGGGTTCCTCACGGCGGCCACGCCACTCTGCGACGCCGGCGATCGGCACCTTTGCCGCCAACGGAGGAGACTGGGTGCCGTCTAACGTCACCTCCGCGCCACGCTTCCGCCTCCTACCAACACCTTTGCCTCCTTTACATGCCGCGTGCGCGGACGCGAAGGCTGCTGGCGCCGCGCCGTCACAACGGCTTAATCCGGAGCTCGGAAACTTGGCACGCCGCTGAATGCGCGCGCCAAGTCGAGCTCAAAAATCGCGCGCGCGCACGCGCGCGGCAACGGGGGGCGTTCGCGGCGTTGCGCCGGCAGCCAAGCCAGGGGCCTCGGGATTTTAATAAAGCACCGCTCCGAGTGTTGTTACCACGGCACTGCAGGCCACGCTTAAGGCATCATCGCCATCCGCGGGCGAGCGGCCCACTGTCCGGCGCGATACGTTCCGCACCCCGGAACGTGCACGTTTAGACTTGCGCCGCGCGAGCGTCTCGCTGGGATTCCGTGCGCCTTGGAGGGGCGGGCGGGCGTCAGCAGCTGGCTATAAGCGAGCGACGATTTACACGAAGGGAATAAAATCAGAAACTCAAAAAAGTCAACCGAGGTAACTAGCCAGGGTTCGCCAACGAATCCAATTACAGCAAGGGCACATTTTATGAATCTCAGTGGAAAAACTACATTTCACAGCGTTCTTACAAAGTGAACAACAACATTGAGTGTCCACACGCTCCGTTAATTCCCTGCCGAGTGCACGCAGGCGCAAGGTATCACCATGTCGTGATACAAATGAATAAATATGCTTTGTAGGGCCTCGCCAAGTGCTCACAAAGCTATTTGAAATGACATTTTCTTAGGCAGACGCTAACAATTAAAATGTAGGTGCCAATGGCCACAGTGAATTTTCCACAATTCAGGGCAATAACTTCAGAGATTAACGTTCGCTTGATGCAGATTTCATCGCTCGTTATTATCGTTGTTTACAAACAAGGCCATTACCATTTTGGAGACGTGGATGACACATGTGGAGGGATTGCTGGCCGGTGGCTCCCAATGGCCAACTTGTTCACAGCCCTGAGCCAAAGGCTGCAATTCCACATTTCTAGTGCAGGAGCCAGTTAATCCATAAGACGACAAGTTTACTTTCAAGCATCTATAGAACTCAACTTATTAAATATTATGAAACTGATGGGTGACGAGCCGAGTTTACCGTTCACTTGGAACTCGAGCTACGTCGCTCCCACTCGTCACAGCTGGTTTATGAACCACATGAACAACAGTGCTCCTAATCTATCCAGATCTCAAAAGCCAAACAGGACTGAGCTTGGTTAACTACTTTGACGGGAGACTGCCGGGGAACAGTCGGTGTTGTAGTATGCTGGGGCAGCATGGCAGTGGAGGGTTTGTCTAAATACTCACATTTAAAACATTAGTAGAAAGAGCATTGTGATCATGATTGGGTTGGAGCAGTGGCAATGCGATAAACGCACTGCACTATGAACCTGGGAACACAAGTTTGATTACCGGCCACAGCTAACATCAGGGGCAAACAATATCCAAACCGGCCCTGGGTCCTTCCCCTTCAATCCGTACGACTAACCAGCATGAATTACGGTTTACAACCCTCCACGCTCCTGACACGTCATTGAAGGCCTTCAACCAGCAGTGGCTTAGCGAAGCTCTGTGAAGTCGCTCTGACCGTGCCGACTCTCTAACGACGCGTCTGCGATCCCTCCGTAAGTCCATGTGCACCAACGACCACATCCCTCGCCGCTCACCCGAGACCGGCGAACGGCGAGAGACGGAGTGCGCCGACTCACCCGAGACGGTCCTGGACCTCGTCATGGACGACGACGACGACGACTTGACCCCGATTCGCGCCTCCGCGATCAACTGACGGGCACGCTCGCGCAACTGCCGCTGCCGCTCCTCGTCCGTCTGGGGGGGTTTGGTGGGGGAGGCGACAAGAAGAGACCCCAACGGTGAGCTCTCGCCCCGCTCTCGCCGCTGTACAAAACCAGATGAGATTTTATCATGTTACAAAAGTGTTCATAGTCTTCATGTTCCCTGCAACTATATCAAACACAACGGTCAGTAATGTTATAACAATTTAATCAAAATATTTGTTTATGACCTAACGTTTTCGGAAAGAATATCGGTGGCCACATTTGTGGCTCAAATCGGACAGATTTTTGGTGATGTAACCAGCAGATGTTCCCCACTTAACAAATTAAACTGCAGGGTTTAAGCCCATGTGTACGCGCATTGCCCCACCGGCTCAAAATGTGGCATCTGTAGGTATGAAATGGCCACAAGTACACCATCACACCAAAGTGGACCCCTTATAAAAAAGAGACATCTGCTCTCAATTGGCTCTTTCCTGATCATAAACAAAGTTCATCTATCTACCAACAAATTGCCGACTTGACATCTGCACCATGCAAGTTCTCCCCCACCGCGCCCCGTGACTGCAGCTCGGAGACACTCGCGGGCTCGCTCGCTCCACGCGCTTCACATGGCGTCAAACAACTCGCGGACCAACATGGGCGGCTGAAGAAGTGAACTTCGGAAGCCAGAGTCGAACCTAGGAAGGCAGCAGAGACTTTAAAGTTGCCGAGTCTCTTAAAAACACAAATCCTTTTCCCCCAGCCTGTTTCCTAATCCACCGGTTCTGACAACAGAAGTTTAGGATCCTGTGGGAGGATGAGGGTTAGGGGTGCGGGTGAGCAGGCAAAGGGGGAGTTCAGTGGAAGAGACTGGGTGAGGATTTAAGGTGGGGTGGGGGGGGCGGGGTGTAGGAGGCGTCAAAGGAATCGCTGAAGCTCAGACTTCTTCAATGGGTGCAACGCTACATCACGGGACCCACAACCACCTCTTGTTCTTATATTCATTTTTTTATCGTTATATATTCTTCTCTCTTGCCTATTTTTTATAGCTGCCTTGTGTATGTGTGTGTGTGTTTCTAGTTCTAGGAATGCAAGCAGGGGGTCCCGAGGAGTCCGGCCATGGGAAGCAGGGCCACAAATAACAGCAGGCCCACCAGGGGTCAAAGGTGACTTATCCACCACAAAATAGAAGAGGCTTAGCAGTTGTCAGGACTTTCTTAAAAACACAGCCCCGGCTGCCTAATCCAGAGGCATTATGTGTCGCTTCGGAATTATTTAATGTCATAATATTCCAGGAAAATGCGACGGGCAGCCCCGCGCTGCACCTGTTAAGATTACCCTTGCCGAGGGGGCAAGGGGGGCCATGCCAGAAAGTGGAAGTGGAGAGATAACAAAGCGTGGAAAGGAATAAACTAAACGGAATCACGGCACGGAGACGATGACCGCCACGAGTGGCGAGCAGTGCAGTCGTGTACCCGACGACGATGACGTTCGACGTCCACCGCAGCAAAGCGAAGCGAAATTACGAGTAATTAAATTTGGATTCAAAAAGCGGCCGAATCCGTGGCCCATTATGCGAGGGTCAAGTATTGCTGGCGGAGCGACATTTCCCACAGAGGGAAGGAGTGCGCGGCGGGGGGGGGGGTTGGAGGGAGGGTTGGGGGTGGGTGGGTGGGGATGGGGGCACGAGGCCCTGGGCTGGGATTACCCATCTTCCTGGGAGACGGCTCACTAAGCCCCCCCTGCCATGTGAGATTGTCCAGCCCCCTGCACCAGTCGCTAAAAGATTCACCGCACACGCACACGCGACGCACATGCGGGGCGCGTACGTTCGCAGTCGCACACGCGGTCGCGTGTATATGCATGGTCGAATACGTACGTACACGCGTGCCTATGCGCGCCAAAGTCTGCGTGCGTGCAGGTGACTGCGAGGAGCCGGCCACTGTCATGCACCTGTTATAAAAATTGGCATTTTATCTCCCAAAAGACATCGGCAAAAAAGAGTTAATTTTTTCAAATATATTTTGCAACTACGCATGTAGATCTTAATATTACAAAAAATAACGAAAACGATAACCATTTTGAAAATACAAAATTTTTGCATGGCATGTGGAGGCCGTCATCCAGCAGTGGGTTGATAAAAGGGCCGGCCACACGTAGAGAGCGACATCGTGGGATTTACAAAGCTGGGCACCTTTGCACAGGAAGTGCTACTCCATCTGGGAAGAGCCGCCGGGTGGAACATCTGCAGGGGCTCTCAAGCGACGTGCCCTGCTTGTTTAGAAGAGGACACTAGGGGCTCTTCCAGCACAGCGAGGGGCACCCCTCCCCCTGCCCCCCAACCCCACCGGCCAACGCCCCCCCTCCCCCCGCCGACAATCGCTCCACGCACCCTGCAGGATAAACCGCCACGCAATAACGAGCGCCGAGTGATGGCCTCAATTTAAAATGGCTTTGCTGCTGCTACCGCTTGGTTGATCGGCGTGAACCGAAATAAGTAAAACCTTGGCAGCGAATACTTTCAAGTTCACATTATTTCAAAGTCATTTCAGTTGAGTCATCAAAGCGTTACGCGACCGTCTCATCTCGCGCCAGTGCTACACATTGTGCTTAGCGCACGACTTTCTCTCCCTTGCTTCACTGCGCCGCCTCAAAAACAACGCTCATTTAGAACGCTCGCCGTCCTCGCCGCTCTCCATCGCACCCCCACGGACCCTGTCCGCTCCCCCATCGCGCCAACACAACCCCACCCAGCACAGCCACTCGAATCAACATATGATTCACACAATGAGCTAATCCCCTTCTCTTTCGCGCCTCCCGCTCTCGCACGGCGGCGTGGTGGCCCGGCCTCGGATCCGGACCCGTGGGACCGCCATCGTGATCACAGGTTTCCTGCAAGCCCATTACGGTAGTCAAGGAGTTACATTTACAAAATGTCTCTATTCTTAGTTTTTGTTGTTTTCATGTTTCGATGGCGAGCCGGCTGGTGCTTTGGGCTGGATGGGAAATCATTGAAAATGAGAAATAAATTAAAAGAGGGGGTACAAGTGGAAACTCAAAGTGGAGGCTTGCGGTTGGTGGGTGGGGGTGGTGACGCGGTCACGCACGACGACACAAACCGAGTGCGACAGTCCGATTAGGTCCTTCCACCGGCGGCTCGCGCTTTCATCTTCTTCACCGCCGCGCGCCCTGCGATTGTTCGTGGGCCCCAACGTGCCGGCCAGGGGGAGTGGGGTGGTGGGGGGGGGGTAGCAAGACTGCGTCGTAGCTTTTCAAGTTTTTTTCTTTTGGCGCAGGGCTACGGCGGCCATTGAACAAAAAAAGTTTACGCCATCGGCTCTAACGACCTGACGAATGAGGAGCCAGAGGTTGAAACGAGAACAGAGAAATGGGGGGGAAGATATGACGTTCCGACGATCACGATTTGGTCTCGAGAAGCAAATCCTTCAGTGGGGGGGGGGGGGGGTTAACTGCTCTCATCGCCACTCGCTTCAGCATTCTCCGACACGGTCTCGAGGCGGCAGGCGTGCCTGTTATCGCTTCGGAAGTGTGAGTTGCGCGCCTACACATGTCCCATCGTCACCCGCGCCGCCGGATGTCTGCCGCTGTGGCAGAGCATCTTGAAATGTTTCTAAGTAAATCAACATCGTCTTGCACCGTGTAAAACTAAAAGCTGCACGCACACACACACACACACACGTGCTGCTGCTGCTTCTGCCACCAAGCGGCTTGATGTAGAGCGTTTCATTTCACAAGATGCCACGCCGAGGCTGAGCCTCAAAAACCCGACAAATAAAAAATAATAATAATAAAAGTTTCGCATTCCGAACCACACACACACGTACGAGTAAAACAACAACCATGCCAAGTTACACGTGCCAACAAATTATCCAAAACTCATAACATGATTAAATGTGCAAGGATTTTAATTGAATTCCAATTTTTGCAATTTTTCTGATTTTATTTTCTTATTTCACATTTTTGTTGTTGTTGTTGTTGTTGCTGCATGAGGCATCTCGGCCGTCCATCACGGAGCAGCACTTATCAACTCTGTGCATATGGACGTCACGGTCGGCCACCCCGACACGTCACAATCACAGCGCCCGCCCGCCCGCGCGCTCGCCCAATCAAGGCAATCGCAAAATGCTTTCAGGAACAGGTGGCGCGTGGCGAGGCGGCGCGAGACGATAATGAGCTCGATACGGCGAAATGGCCTCCCTGCTACAGGGGGGATGCACAAACTCAATATGTTGCACACTTCCCCACACACACACGTACACACTAGCGTGTGTACGTGTGTGTGTGTGTGTAAGCGGATGTATGCGCGTGTGGGGAGCAGTGGTGAAGCGATTAGCGCGCCGCGATACGATCCCGGCAGCCCGAGTTCGATTCCTCGCTCACGGGCAACACCAGTGACGATTATCTGAGCAGGTCCTCGGCCTCCCCTAGGTCCAGTCAGCCGAAAAGGAGCAAATGGTGAGATGTGTGAACATCGCCATGAGGGAGATAATGCCGGCCGGGCGTGGTGCTGGCCACCCACCGCCTCGTGAGCAGCGCCAGTCTGCATTAGGTGCTACTCACGAAAGCACTCGCCCCAAGCGTCTGTTATGGCTATACGGGGGATCTTTGTCTTTGTTTATGTGTGTATACATATGTGTGCATGTGCTAATGTAGGAGTGCGAACACTTGTACGTGCAAGAACATGTAGATATACACACACACACCTGTGTACTGTATAATTAAATACTTAACTACACACACACAGGTTAGTAGGGTCGTGCCACTGCTCCCGACACACACACACACACACGACCACACCGCGTGTGTAGTTGGCAAGAGGCCAGAGAGAAGATGAGTTGGGCCACAGGCTGGGCTCTGAGTGATGAGTATCTCTGGAAGTGGCAAAAGTTGGGCCTCCCTTGCCCTTACGACGTGCATGCCTGTACACCGAGCGCCTGTACACCGAGCGCCTGTACACCGAGCATCGATTATAAAATGAGAAAAGCAGATTCTGGAGCGAACGTGCTTATGCTAGTGTTTTTAGGAGTTTCAATGTCCAGGAACAAGAATAGTTCAGGTTAGAGGTCATAAGCACTTGGGTTTCCAGTCATAAGCACATGTCCGAAATCCATCAAGCCAAAAGCTACAGAGAATAAAGTGGCCATCGAGAGGCACTTTAGCCCACGCATGCGTAACAACACATTGTTTGGCAAACAATAGAGCCAAAGCAATTATAAAATTAAAAACCATCAATGCTCTCAAAATATCTCCGTACGACAGCCCGAGCGCACAAAGGCGTGCTGGAACACATGCGCGCGATAACGTGATGACCCCGCACGTGGGAATCAGTGGCCCACTGAAGACCGTGCAACGGGCTCTGTCGCACAGATGCCGTGAGAGCATCTCAACAGAAAGTGTGACACGCACGCGGTGTGCTCTTTGAAGGGCGCGAGGGAAGGTAAATGGCGCCACCAGCAGGGTAAAGTGAAATTGTTTTCCGCACGTGGCGCCCGAGTGGAATTCGAGTCGAGTCGGCACCCAACCCGAGGGCTTCTCGACAAAGTCTCGGTCCAACGCCACAACACGACTCAGGCCTCCAACCCTGACTGACGGTGCCTCCTGGCAATTTCTTCGACCACCGCGTGCTCAGTTTGTTTGAGAACGATGTCCGTGGAGGAGGCCGGGTGGCTCAGGGGTCAGAGCAATTGAGCCAGAACTGCTGAGATGCCGGATTCAAATGTTGGGTTTCAGCCACCAGTGGCTAAGCCAGGTTCTTAAGTTCGATTAGTTGATGGTATCAGCCCAGTCGCCAAAGCCCGGCGGGGATAATCATCATATTAAAATGTGATTTCTCACTTAAGTTGGCTACATTCCACCTCCGACAAGTTTATAAAATATCAGCTTTGCCACGCGACGGGCATTTCTCCAGCAACGCATGTGGGAAAGTGCTCCCCTGGAGTGCGGATTAAGGGGGGGAGGTCGGTCACTCTTACTTTTATTCAGAATCGTTACTTATCCTGGAGGAATCCGACAAGCTATGAAGGTCTTTTTCACAAAAGTTCCATATCGCCCACCACGGGCTCTTCTCAAGACACGCAGGGCGATGATGTGCTGCTCGGCGAGGCCTCCGAACGGACAATTTAGAGCGACTGCAAAAAAACTGGGGAAGGGGACGGCAACCCGCGAATGGCTGTGCACAAGGGAGCTGCGCTCTCACCTCGGAGGGCTGTCGCTTGGCGGGCTGGAGGGCCGAACCCGGCGTGGCGAGCGAGCCGCCCCCCTTGCCCCCTCCCATCTTGAGCGCCGCGTCACGCCGGGCCTGCTCCAGCAAGAGTCGCGCTCGCTCCTTCAGCTCCTCCTGGCGGCTCAGAGCACGCTGCCCAACACCACATACATCGTCGTCGTCACAATAACAAGTGCTACCACGTCCAATACCACCGCCCATCATCACGACCATCACCTACATGATCAAGTGCCACCAGTCACTGATAAAATGCTTATCGCCATCACCTCCACCATCGTCTTCATCATCATCACATTTGCCACTATAACAACGATAAGCAATCATCGCAATAATGAACGTCACCCACTACCATTAAGGATGAAAACTACTTTAAAAGGGAAACTTCATTGCGTGCACCTCAATACCCTTTAGAATGTTGGGGCAAATGCTAATAGCGAGGACTTATGAAGGCTGGCACGGTGCTTGAGAGAGTGGTGTGGCCAACACCACTCAGCCAACCTTCATCTCCCTAGTTATGATGTTTGAACACCGTGCCAGTGGTACCTAGGGAAGGCCCAGGACTGGTTCAGATGTCACTTGCCACTGATGCCAGCCATGGCTGGGCATTGAACTCGGGTCAGTGTGCTAACCATTACACCTCAACATCCGTGCACACACACAAGCACGCACACACAAGCACAGGCATACATACACACAAGCGGACACACACGTACTCACCCACGCACACACACACCGACGCACACACACACCGACGCCCACGCTCGACCAGCCGCACCTTGTCGGTGGCGACGCCGCTGGTGCCCACGTCGGCGAGCGTGGCGGACTTGGTGAGCGGCACCGACCTCTGCACGGGACTGCTCGGAGCCTGGGAGCACACGACATTACCGTCGTGGTAGCACACACACGTGGACACTCGCGTACAACAGACTGCTGGGGCTAGCGAGCACCTATGAATGCTGGCACGGCACACGAGGGAGTGGAGTGGCCATTACCACTCCCCCGTGCTGATGCTTTCTACACATCGACTAAGGAGAGGTGCAAGATTAGTACAGGTATCACTTGCTCTCCTGTTATTGGCCGTGACCGATGATCAAACCAAGGTCACCGGGTTCGCAGCACAGTGAACACTATAGCACCGCTCCCCATTTTCACACTTGGAAAGACAGAGACAAAAGTGCGTAAAAGGTAACACCTGATGACGGACGCTTGTGTTGCGCCCGAAACGTCGTGATTTATTGTATTTTATACCTACGTGACTTTACCGAAAGAACCAAAGAGTATAGGTATCACAAGGGCCTGGGTTAGGGAGCGCCTCATGCAAGCCGCTCGCAAACGGTGACCGGGAGAGCGGCTGCACCTTGTCGGCCTCCTTGTCGGAGCGCTGCGAGAGGCTGCGGTTGAGCTTCGTAGCCGGCGCGGTGCCGTCTCCATCCGAATCGCTGCGGTGCGCCAGGTCGGCGCGCTTCTTCTTCACCAGGTCAGCGTCGCGGCTGTGCGCGAAGGCGCTCGCCCGATGCGCGTGCCCCGAGGGCTTACGCGACAGTGCCGACGGGAGGCCCTGGGCCTCCGCCTCGGCCGAGGCTCTGTCCGCGGCCGGTCCCGGCGCCACCCCCGCGGGTCTCGTCTCCGGCTCGGACTCGCTGCCACTGCCGTGTCCGCCCAAGTCGCTGAAGTCGAAGCGCTCGACCGGGAGGAGCCGTTTCTTGTCCGTGCCGAGCGACGGCGGCGCTGCCGACGCAGCCGCCGAAGGCTCCCTGCGCGCGTCCGCCGTCGCCGCGCCCGGCTCCACCGTGGGTTTCTGCACGGGCACGGCAGCCGAGTCCCCGTCGCTCTTCCGACTTCTGTCGCCGAACCTCGGTCCGGTTTCTCCGACCTCGTCGCCAGGAAGCCTGCCGTTTTGCCGCGGCGAGCCGTCGCCGGGGTCGACGGGTTCGCCGCCGATCTCCGGCGCTCCGGCCGGCAGGGCCGAGGAGGCGGCGCCGGAGGCAGCGTCGGCAACGGTCCCGTCGACGGGGGCGCCCGCCGCGCCGCCCTTCATCTCGGCGTAGAAGCTGCGCTGGGAGATGGCGGCGGCGGCATCGCTCTCGAAGCTGCCCACGGTGTAGGTGCTGCGGCTCGACGTGTCGCCCACGTGGAGCAGGCTCAGCTCCTCGCCCGTGAAGTGGGCGCGGATCTGGTACAGGTACGTCATGACCGTCAGCTTGTCCGGGATGGCGAGCAGCACCATGTCGGACGGCTCAAGGAGACGCGAGATGCCCAGGCCCGCGAAGCCTTCGTAGGCCTGCCGGGGAGTTCGCACACGCGCACGGCAGGCACGCGCGGTCATTCACTTGTGGATTTGTTCACTCGTTCTTTCATGCGCTGCCTTTGAACGGCGTGGCAATAAAGACACGTGGGGTTAGGATGATGCTCGACAATCGCACGCACTCACAAGGGCTCTTGAAAGCCGATTCATCCCAATGAGTAATAATCCCGTCACTCACGCTTGACAGCACGCTCATTTACATATGTCACTATCTTGCAAAGCAGGGCATGCCAAAACAAAGCAGACTTTTACGGAGTAATATTATTCATTCTGCAATGAAACTGACAACTGTTGGAAAACGCCATAGAAATGTAGAATTTCCACCATTTCTACCTCTAGCTCAGTAGAGGTGAACACCCCCCGCATGCTTGTTTTGCTCAAAGACAGCACGTGAATGACAATGCAGTGTTTTAGTTATGTAAAGGCCATTAATTATACCATTTTATGCATACATGTTTAAAAAAATATTAATATTCACGTTTAATTATAAAACACACGCACAATTATCTCCGTTACCTTCTTGTTGTTCTCTTTGATGTCTTGTGGGTTGAGGCCCTTGTAGTCGCTGTACAAAAAGGACAAAGAAACAGCGTCATTTGGCATGGCTTCCATCGACCACAAAGCATCAGCAAAGACTGAACATAAGTGCAATAAAACCATTTTGGACCAGGCCCACGCAGGACAAATGAGAATGCCTCGGTTAAACGGTGCAATGCCAACGCATTTGTCATTTTTTTTTCACGGGTGCACAGCTGTTTCACACGGTGCCATTTGAAGTTGCAGAATACGGGGCAGCGATGATACCAAGCCCGGGTAGAAGGGACGACAGAGAGAGAGGGCAGTGCACAAAGGACAGCACACTGCCGTGAACGTGGGACGGGAGAAAGGGCAGGACACGGTCAGTGTGCAGGGCAGAAGATATTCGTGACGAGGATCTCGGAAGAGCAGGAAGAGAGCAGGGCATAGTGCAGGAGGGGCAGCAGTAACATGGGGGATGGATGGGAGACGTGGCAGGGAAGGGATACATTAGGTGACGCGAGTGTCAGAGAGGAAGCGCGCAAGGTTCAGCACTGACATGAGGTTGGGCCGGAAGTGATGCAGGATGGCACAGAAGGCCATGCCGTTGCGCCACGACGTGGTGAAGTTGGTGATCTTGACTCCGCGGTAGTCCCGCGTCACCTCCTTGCACCAGCTGAGCAGGGACTGGATGGAGTTCACCTTCTTGTCCAGCACGGGGCTCGGCGATGGGCTCAGCTGCACACACCGGGTGCGCGGGGGGGGCACGGGGACAAACCGCGGGACCTTGAGGCGTCATCATCATCATCCATGCACACTCACGTGGCCTCACTCCAGGCACTCTTTTCCTTGAAATCAATACTCTCCCCTGAGGCCCTCGGGTTAAATGATCTATTGTTATTAATGTACATTATGTTAATAAAACATTAACTACAAACCTCAACCATCAATCCAAAGCCAAACAGGCTGTTAGGACAAATGCAGAACATTCTAGGCTTGTGACACTAGTCACTATGCGCATATAACTCATCACGACAACAAAACAAATATGGTTTCATCGTAACCAGTATAAGTACATCGCGACAACAAAAAGTAAACATGCAAGTTCAACTGAACATTCCCTCTAACAAGGGGAATCGAGGGTGAACCTTAAACACCACACGGGGTGGGGGATTCCGTAACATCCACAGCCTCTCAGCTTCCCGAAGATCCTGATAGTTTGGGACAGCGAGCGTTAGAGATGCTACATCTACAGGAGCCGCAGCAGCATCCCTCCTGTTGCACGGCAAAATTCCTCGTGGTCACACGGAGACCATTTTCACCGGGTGTAAGGCAAGAGAAAAAAATCTCCATTTAAAAGAAATCCCCTCCTTTGAGATGGCAGAGGGGTTGTTGTGGTTTTTTTTTGCGGGCGGGCCAGAGGAGTCACATTCGTGGCCGACCCCACCGACACAGCAACAGCGGACGAGAGCGCCTTGCCAAGCGTGCTTGGGCCAGGGGCGGGGGAGAAAGTGCCCCGAGTGGCCGTGCATGCTAATGCAGCGCTCGCTGCTCTCCTCCCACTTCCAGTGGGGTGGGTTGACCAACGACGGACAACCTCGCCAAGTCCAGCGCGAGCGGAACGTGTCCCTTGGGAGGGCAACGCGTGGATTCGAGTCGCTTGTTTCCACGTCGCACAGTTGGATTAATTTACATCGGTGTGTACAGCGGTACACGCACTCACAACCACTTCCTGCTCCACTAGACAAATTCAATCTCATATTTCAAAGGCAAAATATTTGCTTTGAGTAAAGATGCCCCACTTGTCAGCCTGACTGGCCAAGCTTGCCTTTTCATATATTTACATAAAAGTTTCTCCCATCGTTATTTAGCTTTTTTCCGAAAGGTTGCCGCGACCCCCGCCGAAGAGGGTCACGGTAACCACGGTAACTAACCACGGTAACAGGGCGCTGCGCACCGTCGCCGGGCGTGCAATCGCCATCTCCAAGCACCGCCCTCGCGCCAACCGAGCACCAGGCCGGTGGTCCTGGCGCCATCGCCACGGCTCACGCGGTGGCACAGGCGGCTCGCGAGGAGCCTGCGCCGCCACAAACAGACCACCTGCGCGCCGCCACGACCACCGACAACCTCGCCGGCAATCGTAGGAGCGCCGCCCGCGGCACCGACGGTCTCCGAGCATCAACTCCACCCACGCGAGTATGACGTCAACAGACACGTCACCACCGACGTCATTTGGAGACCTAAAGCTGCGGCAATGTGGAATTTCCACGGCGTAGCCAACGGAGACGAGCAACGCCTCGTGGCCATTGAGCAAGGAGCCACTCTGGACTTGTGCACGAGTGGTTTGAGGCATTGTTTGATGGTGCGGGGACAAGAATAATAAAATCACAAACGGTTCTTTGGAAATAGCTGGCGCACAGGAAGTGCCACGGAGGCCTCAAGCAAACGTCTGGCACGGCGGCGTACGCGGCGATGCATTAACTAAACCAACTCCCGCGGGGGTATTTATTTTTGTTTGCCAGGTCTTCAAAAGAGCACGAAACCGACCGTGCCAAACAGATGAACCAAAATTAAAGTCGCATAATAAGCGTTTAGACAGCGATATTTGCTTAGGAGCCATAGAAGCCACTCAGATTCATGGGAAGTTGAGCGTAGGTGTCCCTATCAAAACAACTCGGGACAACGGCCGCGGCAGTGACTGACAGCCGCCGCACACTGCGCTATTGACGCGTCGGGATCCAGGAACCGACGGCTCCGGTCCCCGGACAAAAGCGGGCGTAGTCTGGGGCAGGGCCAGGTAATGTGGGGCGGCTGGCAAACTCACACAGCGACGCGGAGCCCATGCCCCAAAAGGAATGCGGCTTTACAAGAGACGGGGGGGAGAGCGCGGGCCTAGGGGTCGACACGAAGCGTGGGGGGGCGGGCACACGAACCTCCATGGACCTGGGGCAGGGGGGGGCCCACAGACACGGGGAGCCGAGTCCCACGCACCTCACTTCCATCGCGTGTGGCGGGGCGCTGCCCTGTGTTTGAGACTCACGCACCGCCCGTGCCACAGCCCGCACTCGGATACGAGTTTCAAGTGCCTCTGTTGTCTCAGGTTCCATCGGCTCGGGCCGACACTGTGGTAGTCATCATTTCCTGCACATGAGGAGGACGCGATAGCGCGTGGTCAAGTTGAAGGCGACGTGCAAAACACGTCTCCATCTTTGTGGCACTGCCGGGAGCCTCCACACAATAAGAGGAGTCAGGGGAACACGAAAGAGAAGGTGGGGGGGGGGGGGACATAGGAGGCACTGGTGGTGCCAGACAGGGGGAACGGGAGTGAGCACCTCCTGCAAGTTTCGCCATGGTCCGATGTTCGACGGGAGCATCGATGTCAGGGCTATCCATGCTCCGACCACAGCTGATTGCCCGTGTAGTTTTTTTGCGTAAAGAGATCGGTGAACTCGAACTGAGTAACTCGAGCTACATCTGGGAACGGAAAGTTTTCTTTCATTTCCGTCCTCGACCGCCAACCCGCAGCCTCCGCAAGACACGACATTTCGAAAGGATTAGAAATCGGAACAAACCAGTGAAACTATACAGGGCGGGTTTTTGGCCAGAACCACTGCAGATTTCACAAAATACAAAACTCCACGCGCGCACGTATCAGTACCGATTTTGAAAACGGAACATTCCGTAACTTTGAAACGTGTTTAAAAAAAAATCCTTTTACAAACAAACCCGTAAAGTGGTTCTATGAGTGAGCGTGGGCTGTCCCTGCTGCTGTGACTTTAGTTTGAAGATTCTAAAGTGCCCCCCCACCCGTACACCCCCCACCCTCCCCCCGACCATCCCCAACATCCGTCGTACAGAGCGATTACACGTTGCGTCGGTTATTATTTGAGACCCACTTTGCGCAACGAGGGACACTGCCTCCCCTACATCGCGGTGGGCTCTCTGGCAGGTTCAGAAGATTACGATAATCATGCCGAACCCCACTTTTAACTACAAAGACCCAATTATAGTAACTTACTCCGAGTCGCAATCGACTAATGCGTTTTTTCACGTGTGTCTAATTTAACCTGCAACGATTCAATGGCTCCGACGACCTTTAATCAGGAGGGTCCAGAACTGGGAACTTACACAAGGGATGAAAAAAAAACATGGAGAGCCTGGGAGAAAATCCAAGAATGAGGGGAGATGAAAAAAAAATCTACACAGGTCAGCAAACACATTAACATCATGTGCCGAGTATTAAAATCTAATAATATTGTCCGCATACAACACCAATTGTATGCGTAAAATACAAGTAGGCTAGCGGAACAAACAACTGTCCAAAAGAGGCAAAAGAAAACAGAAACGATACAAACGAGACAGTAGAAAAACGAGACAATAATAATAATAAATTATTGACGAGAATCGCGTCCCCGCATTGTGACACGCGGCTGAATCGCCGGAGAGGGGGGGGGAGATCGGACGCATGCCTAACGGGTACACCTCAACTCCCCGTAAGATCAGTGCCAACCGTGGCAGATGCCGATAACGGATGCACAAATGGAAAAACAAAAACTCTCCAGCAGCGCGCGACCGTGGTCATCCGACACAGACCGTACAACGTATCACGACGCGATGGCCGATACGAAGGAGACATCGCGGCGATACGCTCCGCTGATCCTGGTGCGGCTATCCGGCTTGACCACCTGAATGTGAGACTGTAGTTGTTGCTCGGCATCCACGTGGGCCGCACAAAAAACGAACCAAGAAGTGCCAATGCAGCGGGCAGTTCCTCTTACCTTGGGCGAGGGCGACACCTGCTCGGCGATCGACAGGGCCTGAGGCGAAGGCTTCGCCTTTGGGGTTTCGACGCCACCGCCGCTACCAGCCAGCGCGGGGGGGAGGGGCGCGGGGGCTTTCCTCTTTTCGTGCTTGGCGGGAGTGGTGGCGGTCACCACGGATACGGGCTCGGAGGCGGGCGTGGACGAGGAGGAGGCGGCGGGGGACGCGGACGAGGAGGGTGGAAGGGGTGCGGGCGCCTTGCCGCGCGATGCCACCGCGCTCTTGGGAGGGTCCGGCGCTGGCGGCTCGTAGAACGGGTTCGATCTGCCACACAACAACAGTGGAATCCTTAACCCCGACGACAACACTACAGGTGTATTCATAACCATTGTGTATTCATAACCACGATAACACTGCAGGTCTAAACATAACCATTGTGGAGGTGCCCAAGGCAAACGTGAAAACCCACAAAAGCCGATTGCCCATACGTGTGTTTTCATTTGAAAAAAAGTACTTCATCGAGTTGCTTTGTGCAGAGATGCAAAACGTTTACATGACGTTCAACGAACTGTGTACGCTCCCCCTCTCTCCTGGTTTTGTTCTTTTAACAAACGATGGACACAGATGGATACGTTCTACCATTAAATGCATCCTACTCGGGGTCATTAAGGGTACAGGAAATAAGATATTGGAGATATAGGGCAGGAGCGGTAGCGCAGTGGTTAGCGCACTGTGCGATGAACCCGGTGACCTTGAGTTTGATTACGGTCCACAGCGAACACACGTGGCGAGTGATATTTGACCCAGTCATGGGCCCTCTCTCCATCAATCTGCACTGATCAGTGTGGTGAAGTACGATCAAACAACCCCTATGAACGACACAGTACCCGGAAGCCTTCATCCAGCAATGGACTGATAAAGGGATGTACATGACTGCTATTATATAACTATAACATACAGGAATAAAAATAAGCTACACATGACAATTTCCATCCAATAACAGGACACCAACTCCAGTGGGCTGTTAGAGAAAAATCATTTGCAACTGCGATTTGAAATGATGAGGAATTACTCCGGCTTCTTAAATGGAAAACCAAACAATTGCATCTCGCTATTGGTTCCATGCTAATTTTCACAAATTATCACACACTACACCAGCAGGTGCGATCAGTCGCACAAACGGGCTGTATACAATACCTCCGGCAGAACCCCGATTAAAAAACTTCAAATCAACCAAACGAGAGCTGCAAACGTTGTCATCCCACCGGTTAGCACAATCTGAGTTAACACAATTGGGTTAGCGCAACCAGCACATGGGTTAACACAGCCAGGTTAGCACAACCGTGCAAGCACAATCGACAGGTTGGTTAGCACAATCCACACGCCAGTTCGTACAACCCACACTCGGATACGACCAGAGGCCCCAGGACGGCTCCCACCGTGCTCGGCCGGCCTTCAGTGCGGCTCTCCCTGCCGGGCAGGCGAGTGGGTCAAGCTGCGGCATTCGTCACGGATGCGGAACCTCGACCCGCTCACGGGGAACAATGCAAGAGCACGGGCGGGGGTGGCAGATGCGAAGGGGCGCACGGCCACGATCAACGCCGCTGAGATTTTGAGGTGGGACCAACAAATTTACAAGCGGTGATCGTCTGGTGGCTCCGTACCGAGGCCGCGAGTACCGCATGGTCCGACACGATTTTGTAACCCTGCAATGACGAGCACCGAGACTTTTAAAATTAAGCTCTCAACAGTGTCATTACAGTGCTCCGGTGACATCACTACGACATGTTTTAACGCAGCATTGTTGACGTCACACGATGACCGTGCTGCCATTACCGAGCTGCAAAGATTAACGAAGCTTCAAACTTCTGGTCAGACGTGCGGGAAAGCACAGCCGCGTTGCATAAAGCCACGTTTGTCTTTTATCGCTGCAATTCCTCTTAACAGCCACTCGTGCTGGTAACCAGCCCCCGTACGATATCATGAGTCTGCGAAACCACTTACAAGTTAAAAGCAGAGGCATCACCACCACCCAACAAGCCGCTGACCTCGTGACACCATCGTCACAGCGCACCGGCACACCCTGGCATCCCTCACTGGGCCACAGAGAGGAAGCTACCGCTTCTGTTGCGCGACGAGTTTGAATAACAACGCAGGCAAAGATTCTCAAAAATCTGACACCAATGGCACCACCGTTATAATTGCAGTGTTAATTACATGCACAATTGGTCACAATATCAAGCTTCGAAAGTTTGCAGAGTTATGAATTTGGGAGGTAAGATGGTTCTCACTTGTGTCAACTTTAAGACTAGTTACATTTTGGGAAACCGGATTTTGCTTGAGTGCACACATTAAACATTAAAATCATTGATCGCAGGCCAAAGAATCAGAGAATCAAAGCTAACAGCTTTCTCAGATGGTCGCTCTTGCTGTTAACCAAAGCCAAGTTGTAGTTTACCTGAAGAGTTAGGATGTCAGCTCTGTACTGAACAACGTTCAGTCTCAGGGTTGTTCTTTTTTTGCTATAAATGCATTGAATTATTTTAACATATTCGTTTGTTACATGCAGACAAACAAAAGTGAGTGACAGACTCCCTGCAACTGTCAATCAATTAAAACGAGCTCCGCTCTGGGGCAGGTGGGCCAGGACAGGTGTGCGCACTCGCTCCCCCGTGGCACAGAAAGCGTATGGCAAGCTCACACGCACACACTTGCAAACACGCGTGCATGCACACACATGACCACACACACGAGCGTGGGGGGGAGGTAATGCTGGGACGTTGACGCGCACGTGGCCCTCGGTGTCGGGGCGCCCCCGGTTGGGGCGACTCACTCTGCTGCGCCCGAGTCAGCCGCTGGGCGATCGCCAGGTGGATCCGCGGCGGGGGCGGCAGCGCTGTTGGGGGAAAGAAACCCCGAGACGGACCCACGCGGTCATTCCCCCCCCTCCTCCTCCTCCGTCGCAGCTTCGCACGGCGTTCCGTGGCGCGCGGAACGTTACCACCGACGCCGTCGCGCTGCCGCTTCGTGGCGCGGGCAATGAACCACGCGAGTTCAGCGGAAGTGAAACGATGCGTGGGGTGGGATGGTGGAGCTGTGGGTTAGTGCACCGCATCCCCGAAGCAGTGCCGAGTTTCTACTCCTGACCATGACCAGTACCGTGTCGGGCGATGTCTAAGCCAGTCTCGGTCAAACCCCGGCCCCTGCCCCAAACCACATTAGCAAGCTTGGTCAGGTATGGTATAAAATAATAATTATTATTACTTTCATTAAACTGCTGCAAGTTTCAAAGCAACCAGAGAGGTTAGTAGGCATGTGCACGTTCATAAATTCGCCTTTCGACAGAAAATCGATTGTCTTGCTTAACAAACACAAATTGAATTATGTGCGTATTCACAGATCGCTTCATGTATATTCTAAATCGCTCAAAGACAAAATATAATCCAAGCTTGCAGTGAACACCCCCAAAGCCACCACAATGCGGTTGGGAGCGACCGGCGACATCTCCACGAGCTACTAACCCCGCCGAGTCGGCTCATCAGCCAGCTCATCAGCCAGCTCATGGGTGATGGAGCCGACTCCATCGCCGTCAACCCACACGGTTCACCCCGGATTCTTGTACAGGGAAATTGAGTTCCCAGGTCCATACGGCGTACAGCCGTTCCAATACAGGCAAAACTTTGTCTATTTGTTTGTGTTTCTCCCTTGTGATGGGACTTTGTAGGATTAACTTTGAGATGTATAAGGGCACGGGGTGACTGAATTGGTCTGTAATAAGGTCGGCACTGAAAAGAGGTTGACAGGTATGGGTCTCGTGCCACGTCTGTCTCCTCTCATCTTCTCCAGTCCTGTTCTAGACTGAGCGTACTAATTTATGGACACCGTATTGGAACGCATCCGGTTTGCAAGGCGTATAATGTGGACATTGTGAGCTCAAGCGCAGCCGAACACGGCGTCTACAAACATTCTCACCGTACGTCATATGGGTTGAGGACAATGAAGCAGTCCTTGTTAACAGTCCGTGTCTAAAACGCCGCCAAGTAGTGAAACACCAAAGTTGTTGCAAGTTCATTATCGGTAATAACAAGGCACGCACGATTATTGCGCACGCCTTTTCGTACAGTATCACTAGTCTTCTTCCTTTTGTTCCGATGTCATAACTAAAAGGCTTTATTTCACGTTTGCTCTTGCATGCATTCTCTAAAGGGTATTTGTTTTGTCACCACAATGGCGTTTTTTTACAATTGCATTGCTCATTTTCCTGCAACAGGTTATTGCAGTACGGCTCGTCACAAGGACCCCCCCACAACCCCGCCTCATCCCCGCTCGGCGACCAACGACAGCCACTTATCGCACGCGGCGCCGGTGCACTGGCGACGCGACGCTATTGCCGAGTGGCCCACGGGAGCGGAAGGCAGAGTGGATATGAGCGTGTGACCGACGCTTGCTCGCAATACTGCCCGGACAAACCAGTTCTGCAGAGAGACCAACATGTGCCAGGATATGTCAGCGCATAAATAAAATAAAAAAAACAAGTCGACTTCGTGCAACTAAAACTATAACCCACGAGGTGAAGGTTAGAGAGAGTGAGTGCGCAGGGGGGCAGCATGAACAGCAGCTTTCACGCACCGATACCTGGGGGGGGTGCAGCGGTGTACAGGGTCAGCCACTTCCGCCATTGCCAAAGTAATGCGCTACGAAGTTTCAACGCGTCGAGCCTGAGCACTGCCATTCGACGGTGTTGCGGGTGCGCGCTAGCACACAAACAGGAGTCCCCATGCACGCACGTGTGTGTGCGTGTATACAAACACACAGTCCAACATTCACCCCAACAGACTCAAAAACACACTCACTCACACACACCCCCTTACACGCTTTGACACTCATCCCCCACCCCACACTCGCTCACTCACTCACGCCCCCGGGCAGGTAGGGGTGCCGCCACTCACTCGTCGAGCTGCTCCGAGTCGTCGGCCGCGCTGCCGTACAGGTACTTGCTCATGTCGACGGCGCTGAGCGCGTCGCGCTTGCGGCTCGGCTTCTGGGGCGTGGCCGCGGGCGAGGACGAGGGCGTCACCGTCGGCACGGGCGGCGCACGGCCCTTCTCCGGCCGCCTCTCCGGCGTCGGCGCCGGCGCCGGCACGCACTCCTCCGCCTCGTCCTCGAAGGGGTTGCTTCCACACTGCGGCGGCGAGCCGGCCTCCTCCTCAAACGGGTTTCCGCCACCGCCCTCGTCCGCCCCGTCCGGATCGCCAAACGGGTTCTGGGAATCGTCGCCGCCGCAGTTGCCGGTGGCGTCGGGGTGGCGATTCGTGATGGCGGTGGCGGTGGCGGTCGTGGTGGAGGTGGTGGCGGAGGTTGAGGAGGTGGTGGCGGGGGCCGGGGTGGGAGCAGAAGTGTCGCTGCGATGTGGCGGTGGCGGAGGCGGCGTCGATGACGCGGCGATCCTCGGAGGCTTGAGGGGTTTAACCTCTGTGGTTTGACAGACGAGAGCAGAGTGAGCAACATGGGTTCCAGGCAGACAAGTGAAGCATCAGCTGTGAACACTACAAGGCATATTCAAGTTGACATTATTTTGTTGAAATGTAGGCCCTGATGAGCTCTATTTACAAATGCAATGCAGGGGTTCGTAGTACAGCGCCATTCAATGTTATCAACATTCATCAACAATTGTACTAATTTGAGATTAACTCATGCTTCACTTTTAAATTTTGAAGCTCATTTGATAATCTATTTTACTTGAAATTTGGAGTTAAATGTTCAATCCTTATATTGATGATTTTTTTGCAAGAATATTTTCTGACCTTTCATCTGTTAACCTTTCTAACGCGCATTCCTTTTGACCGTCCTCGCTACACGTACGACACTTACTTTGTAACACAGCGTTCGCTTAAACAAACCTTAAGCGTTAGAGGACCCTCGCCTGGTTTTAAATAAGTTGATCGATCGATTACCTGATGGAATGAAACACCGAGACCGACCCAGCTCCCAACCAATCAGCCTCACCTTGCTGCACCTCGACCACTGAGGGGGGGGCTGGGGGGGCGGGGGGGGCGGCGATGGCGGCCGTTGCTGCCGCCGCCACCATTCCAGACGGCTCCTCCTCTTCATCGTCAGCGTTATCCAGGAAGTTCAGCTTGTTGATGAGCTCTGGTGGCGGGGCGATTCGAGGTGCCGAGCGGAGTACAGTGGCACATTTGAAGGTGGGGAGGGGGGAGAGGTACATTCGGGTTGGGGAAAAGATAATCGATTTAGATCTTAAGTAAAACGTCCACATTTCCCGCCATGTGAAACACGTCGAATGCCAGTCCCGGCTGAAAAGGTGCCACGGGTCTGTCGGCGCAAGCAAGGTCTCGGAAATGAGACGCCACTGAGCAAAGCGAAGCGGGTGGGTGACGTCGCAACGGGACACGGGGTAGCCAGCCACGAGAAGCAAGGGCACAGCGCACGATGCGGCATGCCAGGCAACGCCTCGGCCTCCCAGGACGAGGAGAAGATTTCCAGCGACAACGACGACGACGGAGCGGGCACGCGAGCATGCAAGCACGAGACGGGCACGGCGGGTGGCAAGCACGTCAACAGCCGGCAGGCAAGCGGTTACACAACTTTTGCAGAGAACGGGAACCGGGCAGGCAGCAAGGGTTCAACGAAGGGGTGAATCGAGTGGGAACATTTTCACGAAGGGATCAATGCACACACACACATGGGGAACATCAAATATCCATCAATTGATCGACAAAGTTGGCAGCATGTAATAGAGGGGCCCAAAAGAAATCCACGGAAGTACCATCTCAATAACCTAATTTTTTGTAGGTTAACTGCAATCATCAAAGCGAGTAAGGACTAGGCAAGTCAATGGCGACTTAACAAGCTATCGGTGGTCATTCCATATGCCGACAACTCAAAAGTATGCTTCCGCAGATTTCCATCGGCTCCGGTGACAAGAGGAAAACCTTGGGAGGAGGTGGCAAGGCCGGCCGAGTGGGGGCCCTGTTTAAAGGAGCCCTGATCCTTGTCGTCCTCTAAGCGGCAGAGAGCATTCAGCTGGTTTACTATATCTAGAGGGGAGAGAGGTGACGGACAGGCAGCACGGACACGCAAGGGGCGTGGGTGGGCGAGGGCGGGGCAAGGATCGTCGTGCGGGTCGGGGGGTGGGAAAAAGGGCGCGCAGGTAGCAACGGTGGAACCATCGCAGCCATCGACAGGGAAAAAAATGGGGTCGGGAGAAATGCAGGGAAATCGGCATCGCGTTGGACAGGGAAGGGGCGCGGCTCGCTGGGGAAGAGTGCGGCAGCGCCGTCGGGCGGTGATAACGAGGATGTGGAGGGTCCGGAGTGGGTGGTAGTGGGGAGGGGCAGGGGGGGGCGATGCAGGACGAGGGGAGGGGAGCGTAGGGCACAAGACGCAGGAGCCCGGGGTGACGGGAAGAACGGGGCGGGCGGCACGGGGCAGCGGCGGAGGAAGGGGAAGCAAACGAGGGGAGGGGGATCGAGATCTCCGTCAATCCCTCATGCACGCGGAACGGTCATTCGCCTCCCGCCACTTGTGCCCTGTGCGAGTGTGGCCAACCTCCGAGCCAAAGCCGTCGGCCATCCTTAAATAAGCGACGGCTTGCACGCTGCATGCAGTCACATTCCGCGGCCCAAAAAACAAAAACACACGCGTGCGCGCGCACACACACACACACACGGGCACACAAACGCAAAGTGAAATTGCCACATTCTGTTTTGCGTGCGGACAGCGCGCAGAGCGCAAGGCGTGCCGTCCTCCGCACGCCCGAAGCGAGGGCAGCGCCGATGGGAGACAGGGTGAAGGTTCACGTGCCCGCCAGATACGCAGCACGCACTGTACGCAGCACGCACTGTACGCAGCACGCAACCGCGGAAACCTGTGAAACTGGAAGGTAACTTAGCGGGCGTTTGTCAAGAGGCAACACTTTAGGGTATTGTTGGAAATGATGAGTGCAAAACGACGAGAGGAAAAGGACACTCATTGCAAATGACTCCACCAATGCCGAGGCCGGTGATACCAGCTGGGGCGTCAACGTGGCGGCTGCTTGCCATGTTCTTACGGAAAAAGCTAGTTTGCATTATCATTCCGATATCCAATGCCTTAACGCAAAACTCCAGGGAGAACATATTCAAATTACCTAATTGAGGGGTACGGCAGAGGTCGCAAACGGGTTTTGATTCCTTACCCGTACCCGGCCACACCAGGGTCGCAAACGGGTACCCGTACCCTACCCGATACCCGGCCGGGTACGGGTAGCCGGGTATTGGGTAGGGTATGCGTATCGGGTACCCGATTGCAACCTCTGGGGTACGGGCTGTTGTTATCACCGTGACATTTCTTCCATCACTGCACAAAACCGTAACCGCCTCGCGTCTCAAAGCGTATTGCTGGTGGACTAACGCGTCGGGCCCGGCCCGGGCGGCTCGGGTGTCGCACCTGTAATCTTGGCCGCCTTCTCCTCCTGGTCCACGCGGCTCTCCTCGTCGTCCTCGTCACCCTCCTCAAAGTCGTCCAGGTTCCCGATGTCGGCCTGCTTCATGCTCATCAAGCTGGCCAGGCTCTGCATGTCCTCGTCCCTGCGTGCGTGCGTGCATGAGCGTGTGCGCGCACAATTTAATTGAACATTGTCGTAGTCGTTTTGTTTTTTTTAACCCCAATTACATGCCACTCGTGCCCCTTGCACAATGTCACAAGATTAATATATCGCGCAGCGAGCAGTGAACCGCGTGCGTCAAGAGAATGGCCCCCTCGAAAGCTGACTTCCCACAACTACTTCAAAGTTACCTTTTAATAAGCCTATCAATCCACACTTGGGGGAGAGATTTGTTTTACATGCCCTGCAAACAGTGTTCGTCACACGTCAGTTATAAACTGGCATTTTGAAACAGCACTGGAATAGGCCGAATGAATTCACAAAAACAAACTTAACGTGTCGTTTAACGTGCAATTATTACAGACTCAACCGAGACCATCCGCTTGCCGTACGTGGGAAGCTGGCTTAATCGCGCGCGGCTGAAACCCGGATTCAAACCCAGGAACTCGGCGATGCCGGACTCAACGCCGTGACGTGGCCGCGAGCGCCGTGAGCCACTCGGCCACGTCTCATTGTGCTCTCCCCCCACACACCCCCGCCCCCCAATGCCCCCGCCCCCCCACCCCGCCCCCCACTCCCCGTGGTCAGGTTAATCCGGGAACCCAGCAGGTCACCTCTCTTCTCTCGCGGCGTCTTTCCTCGCACAACTCTACTTTGCAATTCCCTGAAAAAAGTATCCTTCCCCCCCCCAAGCGCTTATAAGCATGGTCAATTCAAGAACCAGGGAAACTCTTATCTATTGATGACGTTTTGAACCTTTGGGTCTGTGTTCAACAACAGAGTTAAAAAAAATATTTAGAAACACTGCAGAAACTACCCACGGTGAGATCTAATTCGTACATCTGTGAATCATTTTGTAGCTCATCGGATTCCTCCAGTCTAGATACACATTCTGATTCCGTACAGCGTCGTGCTTGTGAAAGATGACCAAGTCGGGACCACAGCACTACACTGCAGCCTCGTGCCCGCCCAGCAGGGGGCAGTCTCCCCCATGGAGCCCGATTCAACTGTGCTGACATGGTGGGTGCAACATTCAGCAAAGACGTCACGTGGAAAGCGTTACAGACCTCTTTAACATCACAAGCCGCACCAAATAACACTCCCATAACAGGCAAAACGCGGTGGAGCCGGTACGCTTTGTCGCTCAAGACTGAAGCTTGCAATCATTAGGACGAATCGAATTGTTCAATTGTTGCATGCCGAGCACCGTCGGCCAACAGCACCGAACGACCGCGCAGTGACAATGGGGGGGGGGGGGATGAAAGGAACGCGCGCGGGTGTACGTACGTGGCCTTGCCCTCACGCAGGAAGATGCAGGAGAGCGACAGCTGCAGCGTGGCGGCCACCACCTTCTTGCTCAGCGGCTTGAAGCGCAGCTTCACGTCCGTCTGCGTGGGCATGGGGCTGGCGTACTGCTTCATGTTGATGTTGGCCGACGCCAGAGCTTTCCGCCGGCCCGCCGACGACTCCTGCACGGACGCCGCCGCCACATCGTCGCACAAGAGACATCCGCATCTTCATTATCATCATCATCAGCATCATCATCGGCAGCAGCGGTAGCCGTGATCAATCCACTGCTGGACGAAGGCCTCCTCAAGCGACCGTCATTTCCAGCAATGCTAACGACAAAAGACAAGTCCGTCGATTTATTTTCTTTGCCTTGCAAAGTGGAGAGATGAGAATCATTCATACAGACACAATTACATGTACCGCACCTCAAATTTAATATTTTCCCTTGACTTAAAAACTGTTTAAGCCTCCTGGTAATAACAATAAATTATAATAATACTGCTGGACGTAGTTCCCCCCATACCATGTTGGTCATTACGACTGTTTGACCATACTTCACCATATCGGTCACGAGGATTGGTTTAAATATCACTCACTCACCACTTGTGTCCGCCACGCTCCGAAATCCAACTCAGATCACTCTGTTTATAACATAGTGCGCCAAATAAGCAGATTGGATTCTTATTTTTCTTGCTCTTACTTCAAATGATATTTATTGTCGAACAGATCTTTTAAGAACAAAGCAAAACGTGTAACCTTCATGTGGCAGGCAAGCGACGTTCCATAAACCCGGAGTGATTTTGACATTCGGGCTGTTTCTTCAAGGCTGTGTGCGCGCGCTAACCCAACAAACGCGGGCTTGAAAAGCGACGCTCGGGTGAAACGCGGCACCAGGAGCCTGCACGTCAAATCTCGCCTGCGTCCAGCGGGGCGATTTGCGAGATATCGCGCGATGACGGAAGAGAGCGATGAGAGACAAGCGTTCAGACGCACGGGCGGACAGACGCAGAAGCGTGACGCCCATAACCCCCGCACCTCATCTCCCCTCCCCCCCTCCTCATCATCTCCACACTCAACGGCCAGCAACAGAATAGACCTCACGCCGGCACTCGCTTTGCATTGTGCACACCCCATTCATTTACTTTCAACGCAACAATACCGAATCGTTACCGAATCGATACCGAATCAGGCGTGGGAGCACGCCGAGAGGGGGAGTCCCATTCTCAAACAACGAGACCGTTGCCCTGCTAAATCCCACAATTAACACTCAATCAATGTGCAACCATGAAAACAGCAATGCACGCCACACACAAGCAGAATTGTGGTAAAGCCAACACCTCGGAGGAATGCGCGATGACCCCTAACCCCCCCCATCCCCCCCCCCCGCACCTTCTCCCCCCCTGTCTACAGTACGAATGCCGTTGCAAAAAGCGGCCGTGGCAGCCGTTAGCGTAAAAGCACTCCTCCTCGGTTTGTGCATACTTCCCTGGGCTTAGGATAACAAGGCAGGCGCGTTGACAGGGCTGAATTACAGGTCGGGCCGGACGGAGGAGCAACCAGCGCGGCTGCGGCGGCGGAGGAGCCGTGAGCCGGTGTTGACAGCGGGCAGCAGAATGGGAGCTCACCGGGGCCCACAGAGGAGGTGGGGGGAGAGAGGAGCGGGGGTGCTGAGGAGGGCGGCTCGGCGTGCGTTGACCAATAGAATGGACAAACGGGGCAGCAGAATGGGAGCTCACCGGGGCCCACAGAGGAGGTGGGGGGAGAGAGGAGCGGGGGTGCTGAGGAGGGCGGCTCGGCGTGCGTTGACCAATAGAATGGACAAACGGGGCAGCAGCAGCAGCAGCAGCCCGAGAAGCGGGAGGAGAGGGTTGGTGGAGGCAGTCTGGCTTCTGAACCTCGTGGAACCAAATCGGTTGCTATCGAGGAAGGATAAATCCTTGCCCGGTTATCGGCAGAAGAGCAAATCCTGTGTGCAAGCCTCACCACGGGACTCTCGACTCTAGACAGCAGAGTCGTCGGCACAGAGAAGACAAAGACCCACCACCACCCACCCCCCCAAACCCCCGTTATAGCCTTCACAGACTTTGGGGGCACCGTTGAATTGTAAGACACCATCCCACTCACAGCCACACACTCACGAGTAAGGTTTGCTTACAGATGAGCGTCCAGGAAAGCTTAATAAACGGTGACATCTCATTGTCCAGAGCAAGCAGATTAAGTTGATGAAAACGGTGAATTATAAAGTCATCGTGCGACCACGTGGAGTGAGAGGATATAACAAATACTACACACATAGGTTAAGTGTTCCAATGAAGATCGCATGGAGCATCTGAAAACTACGTGTGGGTTATCAACTTTTTTCGGGATACCCACCCCCCCTTCAAATGAACACGTGTGAATTAGTAATTTGATGAAGGAATAATTTGGCTTAAACGGCATGGGCTTAACAGCCATATAAGACGCAAGCAAAAGTTGCCTCTGATGGCTACAAGCTTAAGACACAAAGCAGATGCGGAACCAATACAAACTCAAACAAAAGTCTTTTAGGTCACACCTAATCTGCATAGAAAAGCAAGGGACAATAAGCAGCTTACATTTCTATATTTGACATCTTCACACAAATCCGTGAGCCACCTGTGGTACGAATACAGAGGCCAGCCGGTTGAGGGGGAATTTCTCCACGCCTTGCAAGCCGAAGCACGCACCACAAAAGGCAGGTGATGATTTTAACGTTTGCAAACACTTGTATTCATGCGCACAAACCGCTCCACTCTGTCCTCCACGAACCCGGACCTGCCAACAAAACCACGGTGGGGATCCCTTTGCACCTCGGAGCCAAGCCGAGCGTTTGCGACGTTTGTGTTTGCGATCGCCAAGGCGTTCACCTAACGAGAAGCGATAAAAGCGGATTCCATTGTTTTGTCACCTTGTCTCTTTGGTCAACTTTGCCGAGTGAAATTTAATTCGTGATTACGTGGAACGTAATGTCTGTGACATAACAAACCCCCTGCCCACCCAACGCATCCATCACCAAATGGGCTCTAAAGGCTCTTCTCGAACTGTCAAACATAATCCAAGTTGCGCTCCCACCAGGGCCCACTGCGCAAGTGGGCCGCGCGCAAACCGACTCACTCAACACCGCCGAAAGAACGATCGGCCCAAAAGCGAGAAAACAATAAAACGATAAAACTCCAAACGCCGCTCAAATCAAGAGGAAAAAAAAACGTTCCTCTCGTTCGAATCTGCCCCCACCCTGCAAAGGTACACGCGCTTCCACGTAACCTTAAACTCAACCCCAACACAGACCTACGCCGACGCGAGTGCACACCAATCGCGCACGTCCACACTGGAAGGGTAACCAGGCTGGCTGTGGCGATCGTCAAAACAGGGCATCCTGCGGCGTTGACGCACTCCCGATCGAGGCAGCCGGCTCGGATCTTCTCAACCGAGCCTGGGCTCGACTTGCACCGAGACACCCACTTGTGGTTCCGAGCTTCCTCGCCACGATCTCTCAAAAACAGCTCGGTGGCGAGCAGAATGAGCATAGTCCAACAGCGACGAACCAGTTTCTCGTCAATAATCCCCAGCACCTCCGCAAACCCGGTTCCCCACGTGCAGCCCTTCCTTGCCGTGGCTGGGCTCTCCAGGGCCGCTTTCAAAACATAACAAACAAGGTCATCCAGGAGGTGGATCGAGAAACTTCCCAAGAAGTGTGAGGGGGGGGGAGAAGTTTGAAATTCCAAGTTTTTAATAGTTCCCTACAAATAAAAAAAATTACAAATTTCAGGGTCTCAACAAGGGGGCTGATGATCCTTATCACACCGCTGAGGTCACGCGCCTGTCCCGGATGCCCCAACGGAGGGCAGAGGGGGCATCTGCGACAACTCAAACTGTAAAAGCGGCAGACAGATGCAGGCTGTGACGCGTATTGTGGAGGAGGATTGCCTCCGAGCAGACTCCTCGGGAGAGTGAGAACACCGAGCACTGCGGACGATGACGCCGTGGCCTGGCCCTGCCAAACAAGTGCGTACGCTGCAAGAAGAATGAAGCCAGCCACGGAGAGCGACCACAGTTGGGAACGCGTGGATGCCTGCGGATTCCCCGTGGCAGACAAGGCCAAGAGAAGCAGCTGCAGCATGAGAGTCGCGTGCGGTTATAGGACATTCAAGCTGCTCAGGACTGAAACACGAAGCAGAGAGTTGCACCAGCAATCCTCAACAAGAACGATTCACATATTCAAAGCACCCACGTTGGCCCAAATGAAAAATGTAATTTGGCAGGAGCCTCCTGGAAAAGAGTCACGTGACTCAGTGAGGCATTCCGGGGCAAACAGGAATGGTGATGGAAATAAAAAGCTTAAGCCAAAGAATGCTGGCTAAAATGCCTGCAAGGGAGAACGATGGTCACGGAAACCCATGGTGTCTATTCTCGTGGCTGGCTCCAATGCGCTTGCTGCTCAGCAGAGGGCACATTTGAGCTATTTTTTTCAACGACGTAACATTTAGGAGGTTAGGTTTCGTTCCAAGACAAGATTCTCGTAGTGTACTAAGATAAAGTAATTCCTGTCGGAGAATGCCAGGTTATTTGCAATCGTGTCAAATTAAGCCCAGCAGCAGAGGAAGCCGAATGGCACAGACGCTAGGGGAAGGGCCCACAGCACTTGTGATTTTATGAGATGGGATGATTTTACAGACGTGCCTTCGCTCCGCAGTTCAATCTGTACACGTGACACTTACAGCCCTTTGGCAATCCACTGCTGGATGAGAGCAACTCCACAGCATGGTGGTGGGGGGGGGGGTTATTTATCCATACTTTGTCACAGTTGTCACTGCGGATCGGTGAAGAGCAGACTTGGGACCATGGAAGTATAGCACAACAGCTGCTGCTGCTGCTACACTGCCTCCTACTGGCAACATAGCCGCACAGCAGCCTGCAGTGCCCGACTAACGCGTGTGGTGGGCACACATCCGAAGCACTACCCAGGCTCAACCCCAACATAGTGTCCAATGTCTAATCAAACTGGACACGGTGCACAGCGAATTGGCCAGTTCAATACAAGTGGGTCACAAACTGTAAGGCATCTTCCCTCAAGCCACACATTTATACAGCTGAAGAGCCACTTGCTGACCATGGCCTCAGCAGGGGTCTGAGGGCCTCGAGTCTCCAATGGCTGACAGATCGAGATTTGAAAAAGGGACGGAGAGTGTTTTTATTTATTGTTTATGGTATTCCAAGCAAGTTTCCACCTGCCCCTCCCAACCACAATCACGAACCCTCGATCCCGATAAGCTCCGCAAGAATTCGAAACAAAGCAACTTGAAAGCGCTGCGTGAAAAAGTCGGCGTGTAAAAATTAATCAGTTAAAGCCAATTCTTATCCTCGTGATACACGCAGGGTAAGAATCGATTCCTGATATTTACGATCTATACCAACGGTAACCTATAATTTTATTGTAGGCTTGATGAATTTATTAAAACAAAATCTGTCGGATATATTTTTATAAAAAACATTTGTTTTCCTTACTGTAGAATACAGCTGTGCGCATTTGGTAGAATAAGCACAGACATCAGGAAAAATTATTTGCCAGCCCAATAACAAAAACCACTTTCATACAGCGTTGCTACCCCGAGCTCCGATGCTCACTGGTGCCAACAGCCCCCTAGTGGAACAAGCGTCCTTGACAAAAGTAACAAAAGGACAGGAAGTACACACACACACCCGCCATACATACACACCACGCCACAACACACCCACCCTACACACACACCTACCCTACATACCCCACACACACACCACACACCACACACACACCACACACACACCACACACACACCACACACACACACCACTGCCGGTTACACTGGGAGTGGAACAACTGCCAGTGCAGGGAGAAGCAGGGCAGGGCTGAGAACGTGGCGACTCACGTTCTCGATGACGAACGTCCACTCTTTGTCTTCAAACTCCTCGGCGTGAGGGTCCTGTTGGTCGCATGCAGGACACACGCACACGCGCACACGGGCAACGCACGTTGTGTGTTTGTTGAACTTCTTGGCACCATATGTAGCCAACCGTGCTAATCGGAGGTGCGGTTCGATTCGCCCACGAGGGATGACCAGGGCGAGAATGAGGCGCAGCCCTGTGTCTGCGTGGCGTCGACGGCTTCGAGTGGCATGCAGCCGTCACGCTACAATTTGTGGTCAGGCCGGGCCACTGTTTTCATGTTTTACTCAAGTCGATCACGGGATTTTAGCCAAACAATGTATCGAACTACGACCATCCACGAGGTGTTCTTTGTATTTGAAACAAAGAAATAGCTGAATAAAGTTCGGTTTCCATGACAAAAAACATTCGGCACTGCGGCGGAACCCGATTTAAACTTTTAGCATGAACATATTTCAAAGTATTAATATGGAAAGTATACTCCACAACAATGCATTCATACGAATCGTATTGTTTCAGAGTTAAGCATTAAACGCAGCCACATCTCCAAAATCAGGCTTAAGGACTGGCATTGCAAGGGCTCCAATTTCAATCAAGGATGTAAATAACAAGTGTGCAGAGTGGAGGGGCACAGTGGGGGAGCGGGGGGGGGAACGTGGCACGGCGCTCACCTTGAACAGTGTGACGGTGATCTCGATGTTCTCGGGCACAGGCCACACCACCACGCCACGGTACGTGTTCTTGATTCCGGGCTGCCAGCTGTGCGCCTACACGAGACACGAGACCATTCGGAGACCGCAACGAGCCATCGGCACTCCCGGAAACAATTTCAAATCGTACGGTGTCCAGATGCAATTACACATCTCCAGACGATATGCAAAACTAGAAATAAATAAAATTTGGGTAGGGGGGGGGGAGTTTGGGTTTGGGGCAGGAGAAGAGACCAACACCAAGACGCAGCCCAGGAGGAATAACCAGAGCCCAGAACAGACAATGAGCCCCAGGGCCAGTCCCAGTCCCAGCCCCAGGGCCAGCCCCAGGGCTAGCCCCAGCCCCAGTCCCAGCCCCAGGGCCAGCCCCAGGGCATCCACTGCCAGCACGTCACTACTTACAGCTCCTGGGGATCTGGCCATCATGGTGCTGTTTACAGGGTCAGACCTAACACACAGCACACAACTAGTGACTCGCGTGTTTTTTCTTATTCTGTTGAACCAGTGAGCGGATAACGGTTGTGGGGAAAATTATATACGTGAATATTACATTAATAAAAATCAGTAATAATAAATATTTGTCAGAAAAAAAAGATTTTACCACGTAAACTACTTATTTACGATGCAAGTTTCATCGTCGATGCCCCAAAATACCTAAAGCGGAGCTTCAAAAGCGTTGACCTGAATTAGGTTTTATTGGACGGGTTACTTTCAAGCGCCCCGAGGTGTAAACAAACTCTAGATACATTCTCCTCGGCAGAAACACAATTACGGTAGGTCACAGACCTGCGATGAGACGGGGCATCAAAAACAATCACCGCGAGACAGTCGAGGGAGACACTTACCCCTGAAGGTTATAAATAGCAGGGTGGTTGTGTGTGTGTGCGCGTGTAAAGAAATTGATTCGTAAATTTACGAGAGGCACCAGACCGACAAGGTCCGATCCGTGACATTAAATCACCACCGCTCATCACTAAAGAGCGCCGGGTGAGATCGCAAAACGGACCGGAGGGTGCCGTGCTGCAGCAAGCGAGCCGGGTGACGTGCTGCGAGCAGCGATAAATCCCGCGGTGGAGTAGACGACGCTACTGGACAAGGAGCACAACGGTGCGAACATCGAGAGACAAAAAAAATGACCCGGCCTCGCATCACGACGACGACGACGCCGCCGCCGCGGCGAGGGCCATCAGGGGCCCTCGGGGGAGAAGTAGCGCCACTCCTCGACGGCCTCTTGAGGCTGTCGGCGCTGCCACACGCGCCACGAACCCCGGCATCGCGGCCGTCCCCTTATCGCCGCGGACGGTGTTCGAGCGGCGCCAGTGTCGCGCCAGCGTGCTCCCACGCCAGTACCACCCCCCCCCCCACCACCCAAAACATCAAATCAGCAGGCGCGGCGGAAATACGGGGATGTGCGGCACTCATGAAATTACTCTCGTCTAATAGCATTAACGGCGGCCGACTCTGCACCTGACAGGCCTCTGCGGTATCAGTGAGCGACGCGAACATCGGTGAAACTATCGCGGCGTAATTTAGTTACGTCGATTGGTATTCATTTGTGCATTATCTCTGTAATGTGCTTGAACGTATCGAGTGGTTGTCAATTGGATAGCCTCTTAGCAGGCCGCATGGCAAGTGTTACACATTGCCATTCACCCCTCTGGGTGTTTTAAAGCGATAAGGCCTCTGCCAGATTTTGTACTCTGCTATTAGGCCATGCGCGTTAATGACGGCGGTGGTGAGGTCACTTAAGCCTAATAAAGAAGGGAAATGTTTCCTTCCTTCAACCCTAAAAGCAAGCTACCCCGAACACCGGCGCCACACATCACCTCTAAGAGCAGACGCAGGCATCGCGTAAATTAGAGATTTAGTGCGGCACGTGGCCTTTGAGAGGTGGATAGCTTCTCGCGTTGACCGTCAAGTTGAGAAATTGAGCGCGTTTAACGATTTTCAACTAAAGTGTCTGGTGGTGTAAGAGGGGCCAGCGGTTTACTGCCTCTTCCCTATACCCCGCATCCGAGGGGCCGACGCTTGGGACATCCTCGGCTAGGGCGAGCCTACTCGTGATTTGTTACAATTATTTGTTAAAATAATGGGGCTGGTCAAAGGGTGGGCGTGACAGCATCGAGGTGGAGTCAGCTGTGCGGGGGGGGGCGGCGGCGGCGGATTTTTTATTGCGATCGCACGAGGCGCAGAAAACAAAAGCACCGCGGGCTCGTCACGTTCGCAAGCGTCGTACGCTTTCACGCGCGCAAGTACAAAACAACACAGTTGGGAGCACACCGAACCATGGGCACCAGGATTCACCGTACAAATTATAAACGTCCCCGTTAGCAATGGATCGAGCCAGGTGGCGATGTGGCCAGAGCACCGGAAATGAAATCGCAATCAGAAGGTCGGCAGTTCAAAATCGCAGTTGGAGGGGGGGGTGACTCAGTGCCACATCCATCTGGGAGAAGATAAAATCAGTAGCACTTCACAGGAAATCAAAATAGTGGTCGCCCCATAGGGTGGGGATCAGCCATGACCGTGAGTGTGTAGCATGTCCACCACGGAGATGATCGCTGTCCAATGTCTCGCCGGAGGACGAAATCTGGCTGCTTTTAAAAAAAAAAACGGCACGACAAACCTCGGGGCCAGCGATGTCTTAATTTTGCGACGCAAAAAGGAAAGTTGGTTTGCGAACTTCCACCGAGACCGGGGACGTGCTCTCTGAAAGCGTAAAACCGTAACACCCCGAATCACGTACGCTCTCTGCTGTAACAGCTGGTACAAGTCCCCCCACGGAATCGAGGCCCACACAGCGACTTGGCTGCGGATGTGCTCGGGCCGTGAATCACCGCCCTGAATAAACCGCCGCGCGCATTGCTGACAGACGCCCTTGAAAGTCCAGCTTCGCTCTGGGCCAGGACGAGCGGCCCCAGGGGATCGTGTGTGCGTGTTCGGCACGGAGCTTTGCGTTCCCTTCGTGTACGGGGGTTACGGCGGGGGTGGGGAGGAGGTAGGCGTAGGTCTGGCCGGGGGGTAGGCACTCTGGGTGTGCAGCACGCGCAAAACTGTACCAATGGAGTGAAGGGGAGAACACGAGTTAATGATACACAATATTTTTTAAAAGGCAGCCTCCTAAACGAAATTTACCGTCGCAGATGCACGCACTTAAAGCGATAACTGGCTGCACGAGTGGCAGGAGAATGCGCACTAACGGAGCCACCTCGCATGTCGATCGAGCGAGAAGCAGCGAAACCTTAAACAGATGCACGGTGGAATGCTACGATTACAAAAATGACACGAGGAGAGCACCGCCAACCAGCAGCGCACGAAGGTTCCGCTCACCTTGGACGACTTGCGCCGGGACCTGCGCGTCCACACCACCACGAGCTTGTCGGGCTGCCTGCGGGAACACCAACCACACGGCACTTAGCCAACCTGGGCCTCCGCGGCACAGACACGCCGAGCGAAGCGGCATCGCGACGCGGGAAGGGTTACGTGTGGCGTCCACGTGGAAGGCACGCGCGCTCGCCGTACAAACAAGCGGGCAGTTGACTACAATGCCCATACCAACAGGTACTTATTTCAAGCAAAAATAGAACATTAGGCGAGGATTGCTGCTGGCAGAATTATTTCCTGCTGCATGCAAACTGGCTTACCAATTTCAAAACTATTTTTTCCAATCCCAGAAGATTATTTTAAAAGTTTCATTAGGTGTGACATTTTCAGCAGAGTTGTACATTATGTAACTGCTCTAAGTCACGTGACATATTTCTCACATTGACCGACTCTCGCGTATTTGGCTTCACTTATTTTGACGGAGACTCAATTGAATAATGAGCTCCCGCATTTATGAGCTGCTCCCTGTGGAGTTTGTGGCTCACTATGAGGTCTGTGGTCAGAAAACGTGCTTCCAGGAGCAAATGCAGCCTCATGTTCCGAGGGCTTAACGATGACAAATGCACTCGTAAACTCAAACACAGTTTACGTCAAACACACAGAAGTGTTGGCGTCAGTCACCCGGTTTTCAAACAAATGAGTGCGGACATCATTCATTATGGCACCGCAGGTGTAACGCATCACAATCACACCAGTGCACAACGGACAAAGCACCTCCATGTAATTAATGAATTAAATTAGAACAATTATTCCTTCGTTGAAGACAAACGGCCATGGACGGATGACAAACAAAAAAAACAAATAAGACTCCGAGAAATGTTCTATCGGCACCTGCCACAAACGAGACAGCGGCAAGCCACCAGCCCTATCGACCGTTCCGTGGTTACACGGCACAGCGCCTCGTGTCGCTGTCGCGGCTCACGAATCAGCAGAACGCCACTACGACGAATCGGCCGCACGCACCGGCCTGGGCTTTACCGCCCGCCCGCGTAGTCCATGTACAGGTGCGGCGGACGGATCCGACGTGGCGTGTGGTTGAGCGAAGCCATAAATCACCGAGCGCCAGTCACGCTTGTCACGTGCGCACATCAAAACCAGGCTCCGCACACTCGACTAAGTCGAGGTGGAGTCAAGGTTAAGCCCTGCGATTGACAGCAAGCCGTGGCTTTCATCTGCAATTTTTAAAGCAATTGCTGTACGTCTACAAAACACAACCCCAAAGCGCCGGTGACCTTTAATTTGTCATCTTTGATTTTGCGAGAAAAACTTAGAAAACCACGGTAATGTGCGGCGTTATCCCCGTTGCTATTTAACGCGTGCCAAGCTCTCCTAATTTACGACAGCGGCGCATGGCAACGCCGCGGTGTCCGCGCCATCTGCTTCGTGAGAGACGGCGCACTTTGGCATTTCCCAAAACATGAATTTCGGAGGCAGCTAAAGGGAACCGACCCACCGTCGACTCGTCACGCTCCGTTCCGGCGGCGAACGTGCCGACACCGCGAGGCCAAATTCCTAAATGGGCGAACGGATTCGTCCGGAAGCTTCCAAACTTAGACAGCGAGAGAGCGCTCTGGCAAGAGGGAAAGAAATATTATCCGACTTACACGCTCACGTGGCCCAAACGTATAAAAATAACAAAGCAAGGCAATTGACAGCTGTCACCTTTAAATTTACGCAGGGCATTTGAATCCATTAACGGCACCGACAGGGACAACAAAATGTGGTAAACTTGGGACTGGGCTCGTGTTTAAGACAAGTGGGCATTTAAATCAGAACCGCGGGTGTTCAAATCGCGAAGCTGATCACACCTCGGTCTACGTGACACCGCAGTGACCGGAATGGAAACGGTGATGCAGCAAATATTGACACCACCATCCCTGCCTCATCACCCACGTGGTGCTCGTCCCAGGCCAAGTTACGTGCCACACTTCACTTTTTATAACCACAACTATGGAATATAATCTCGGACGCACCGATGAGTCGCGCTAAGGGAAACCGGTGGCGTACGAACACACGGCCACGTTCGCCGCTCTCCGGCTCTTTACAGTTTCTGTTTGTAGCCAACACTCTCCACCCACGCATCTCCCTTTGACACCACACAAGTGAACCAATGTAAGCGAGTTCAGGCCCCTCTCCTGGGGGGGGGCGCAAACTCCAGAGTAACTGTGGCTAACATCCCTAGAGATATTCAAGATTTGATTCCAGAACACAATCTGTTCTGTTTAAACTTTACGATCTCATTTTACGTCGTGCACTTCGTTTGGACTATCTCCCTCGTTTGTACTGCTCGTGTGCGTCTGTATTGTGTTGTTCCTTAGTACTGTCTGCGCGCTCTCGTTTGTACTGTCTCGATGGTACCATGTTATCTGTACTCTGTTGTCCTCCTCGGTCAAGTTTGCACTGCCTTGTTCATTCCAACCATTAGTTTTAATGAAAACAGACTTTCATGCAAGTGTCGTGAGCATAAAAATCTATGATCAAATCGACGAATTGTCGCGTGCGTACTTAATAGCACAGGGCAGGGCGCCAACGGCCCTTACCTACAACCACCACGGCCGCAATTTCTCGTTCGCCGTTTTGGAACAATAATTTTAAGAGGTTCACGCTGCACGGCTCTCCTCGGCAAGTTGGGACAAGAAACCAACTCGCGAGTCCCCACCAAACAAGCGACGGAAATATTTCCTTTGGGATTTACGTTATTGAATTGAGGCGGCAGAGAATAAATAACAATTCCGTGCGTTAAGAAGTCACCGGCAGCATTTCAATGCAATGAGTAAGAGCGCTGATCCTTTCCCCCACACGGAGCACTCTCACGTGAGAACTATGGGGAACTCGGCAGAGCATCTTGCTTGAAGGCCTTATGTGGCAGCGGGTTGCAAATGTTTCTCATCTGGAATGCGGGCCGTTATGATGACTGCGCCCGCACGCATCGGTTCTGTCACGCGACACGTGCGAGCGAGCGTAACTCTGAGCACCATTTCGCACGAGGAAGAAGAACAAGAAGTAGTAGAAGCGGCGCCCCTCGACGCGCCGCGCGGTGGAGATGTTGCAGAAAAGCCACGATGGTAGATTCTGACCGGAAGAGGCCAAGCACTCGTCGGGCGAGCAAGTCCTCCTGGCTGCAGCTCTCACGGCCCCCGAAAAGGTGAACCCCGAAAAGTCCGGCAAAAATTCCCCCCACGACATTTTCAAGAGGATGCAGTATTTCGCAACATGGCAATTAACGGAGAGCGTTAGCGACGGGACGGACGGGGAGGGTGGAAGAGATGACCCGTCTCCCCACCCCCCCCCCCCCAGAGGTATTTATCCCACCACAGGCCATAGGGCGGGAGGAGTTTGTGAGCGAGCAGAGGCGCAGAAGAAGCGCAAAGCGCCCCGTTGGGGTAGAAAGTGACGAACGAGCTGGACCCCGCATCGCTCGCATAGTTTGTGCTCCCGTGTGCAGCACAAGCCCAGAGCGAGGCCGCCATTAACGAGTACGGACCGTATTTTATTTAAAACGCCACGGCGGGCCGGCGTTCACAAAGGCGATCTTTGTGTGGTGTTCTTTACTCATTTAGAGTCGGTTACTTATTTTGCTTTTACCCCCCTCCAGCACAGAGCCTTGTTTAAATTAACCTCTACGCTTTATGGCACGCACTGCGAGCCAGGGTTCATTGGCAGGCTTGGGAGGCATTCGTGGCGCGCTACAGAATTTAAATGCGACCCCCTTTCTAGCGGGGGAGGGGGGGGGCGGAGGCAGAATGGGTCAACTCCATCCTTTGCTTGTGTTGGCTCCGCAGTGCCGCGCACGTGCAGGCGGTATCGCCTTGCGGAGGACGCAGATTGGCGCAGTGTGCGAGTGTCCCAGCGAAAATTTCACGTGGACCAAAACCAAACGCGCGACAACACTGCTAATTATGCGCGTGGTTGCACGGCTTAAGGTCTCTACGGTTTAATTATTTATCGACTTCCTTTGCACAATTCATCTTCGTGTAACCTACAGGGGTGCACAAGCCCCGTGTACACATGGCTTACACGCCGCGCATGAATTATATATGCCGCAGGATGCAGAAACATAACACAAACTCGGACGTCATCCGGTATAAAAGAGTGTTTGCGCGAATAAAACCACGCTGTGCGATGTTACAGCGAGATGCCGCGGGGGACCAGGTGACGGCGCTCAAAACACGATCTTTATTTCGAGCTTCTTTCACACCGTACGTAGCCAACCGTGCTAATCCGAGGTGCGAGGCAAGGACAACAAACTAAACACAAACATCTATTCGAAAGAAATTCTTTTCAATCTAGATTATTTAACAGTGCATAGCTCCGGTGGCTTCCTAATATCAGAAGGAAGAGCATTCCAGACGGTCAGAGAAGCACATCGGAAAGCACGCGATGTGGTGACCGTCTTTGTTCGATGGTTAGCCCAAAAGCCGCTGCGAGGATGACCAGAGTTTTCTTGATGGTTCATGCTCCGTTTGTATTACCCTTATTTGTCCAAGAAAAATGAGAAAGAGAAACCCAAATTGTCACAGACGTGCCCTCCTATTGCTTCAACACAGCACACGAGAAAGTTGATCTGTGTACAAAAAAAAGTAAAGCAAATGAATGCAACTCAAAAAGGTTAGAAAGTTCAATTATTTCTAAATCGAGGTGGTCAACTGGCTCAGAGGTCAGAGTGCTGTCCGTGCACTGCCGACATCTTCCTTTCAAATCGAGGTTTCAGCTGCCTGCGATTAAACCAGGTTCTCAAGTTGGCGGTCTCAGCCCGGTCAATAACTGCATAAAATACCATTACAATAAGTTGATTTTGCACTTAATTCGCTTAAATTCCAGCCATGAGAATTTAAAAAAACATTCTTTGACTGTCATTCAATGAACATTAATTTCTGGTAAAGTATTTCCTCCTAATGTGAATAAGCGGTCAAATCAAAGATATTCCAGAAGCAGTTCTGCGATATTTGATGGGCTCCAAGCTCCGCGTTCCCAGCTTGAACCTTCCGCATCGAATCCCAAAGT